AACAGTAGAGCGAATAAAACTAATTAATTAAAAAGGTTTAATAATTATCCTTGCGGGGGGGGGGGATAATTTTTTTTAAATTCAACTCACGCTAAATATTCCTATTTAAAGTAATATTTATTACGATCTACCAACCTTTTTTTTCATTTCTACCGCATTGATTATTATGCCCAGGCTCATAACTAAATAACTAAATAACTTCTGATTAACATCTGCAGTTGGATTGAACTGACCACCTGTGTAAGAATATTATAGTTGTTTATTTATTGCTAAGATCTCTTAAAATCATTTTTTATTGTTTTTTTTTAAGGGGTGGTTAAATTTGATTTAAGTGTATGAATAAAATTAATGAGCTAAAAAATTCTTTATAATTGTTTGAATTTGCGCGTTTGTGTTTGCGTTTGTGTTTGTGTTTGGTTTTGTTCTGTTCCCAAGTTGGTACATTTAAAAAAGGATTTACCGTGGCGAAGCACGGGTATGCAGCTGGTATATATATATATATATATATATATATATATATATATATATATATATATATATATATATATATATATATATATATAGATAGATAGATAGATAGATAGATAGATAGATAGATAGATAGATAGATAGATAGATAGATAGATAGATAGATAGATAGATAGATAGATAGATAGATAGATAGATAGATAGATAGATAGATAGATAGATAGATAGATAGATAGATAGATAGATAGATAGATAGATAGATAGATAGATAGATAGATAGATAGATATATATATATATATATATATATATATATATATATATATATATATATATATATATATATATATATATATCAGTTGTGTGCCGTGAGGTTTCCCACCTGGGACTAGCAAGAGGGTAGGAGGGCTGGGGACTGTCCACCATGCAATTTCCTGTATAATCAGGTTCTTCTGACGCCTGAATATGTACCTCAAACTACGTATACAGTTATACAATCAGGTGACGAATAAATTATGTTTTAATAGTTTTGAAGTAACAAACAACGCCACAACACCAAACTTCAAACTTCAAAATTTGTGTCCGTTCAAAACTCTTAATTTTGGAGGAATCTTGGGGCATTAATACTAGTGTTCTTAATGGACCCACAATTTGAAAATTCATACAAAATTAGTTTGAAGATATGCACTTCAAATTTTTAGCAGAGTACCCCCAAAATATGGAAGAAGATTATGAATTCATTGTTCATTGGGCTTAAAATATTTTATTTTTTATATTTTATGAATGGTGGAAAACCTACGACGGGGTTAATTTTTCAAGATGGCCGCCGTTGTCATAGTTACCAAGATTTTCCCACCAACTTTTTTTAGTGGGAATACATATGCGGATGTATCTTAATAAAGCTGTAAAGAAATAACTGTTTTCTAACGAGTATTAAAAAAGTTTTTTTTTTTTTTATCGGAGGCTACTCCCTTAAGAAAAAAAAAACATTCGCAATGACAAGATGGGTTCCTAACCCACAAGCAACATGTTGAACGACTTGCTATCGAGCTAACCTCGGCGTCACACATTTGCCTGTCAAGATTTAGGATTTTACATCAGGAGGCGGCGTCACAAAGCGAACACGCGGGCTGCTGCTATAAGGGGATGGAAGCAAACTTCGACCGACCTGACAATATTGACGTCTGCAGGGAACAGATTTGTTCGAAGAGTCTAACCCCTCTTTACAAAGTCAACCTGAGTCTTAGTTCACATTACTGAACACCAATGTAAACTCACTTATTTAGGAGATGAATACTCTATCATTATTAAATGAAAAATTTAGAGATAGATCTAGTACAATATATAAAGAGAGGGTTTTTTTTTTTGGTATTGGGGCCTAGCCTTGTGGAGTCGATTAAAAATATACACAATTTAGAATATGTAGAAATGTTAAATACTTTAATAATCTAAATGTTTCAAGTTTATTTAGAAAAGTGTATAATATTCAGTGTTTATTTCAGAGTTTTTCTCCGGGAGGGCACTTGATATAATAGTTGGGGGGGGGGGACTCAATTTTCCCGGAGGGGGGTGGATGGACACTGGTAAAGTATATATTTTTTATATAAATTTTATTTCGTTCGGGGAGATGGTAGACTTTTTCCGGGGAGGGGGGGGGGGGTGCCCACACGAAGGCATGCCTGAATAAAACTCTGATCATATTGTAAAGGTTTCTAATAGTGTTTTGTTAAAAATGGTGTTGGATAGGCTGGTTTTATTTCATGTTGAAGGATGATGGTTGTATAAATTGCTTTATTAAGTTATGCGAACAGTTAAAATCGATCTTTAGTAGAAACTTCGGATGTAGCTAGGCACATGGGAAAACAAAGCTCAAACACCAATACTGGCAGTGTAGCCTGTAGCAAGGGAATCAAAGCGATACGTCTGGTCCCGTGTTCACGTGATCTACGGAATACAGGAAACTCAGTTCAGATGCAAGGTGGGAGTGCCTGCCGAGGTTAGTTCTGCTAGTGAAGTGACGCTTTATTTTACAGCATCGTCAAGTAAAGTGGTCATCCATAAATGACGTCACGCTTTTTGAACGATTTTTACCTCCCTCCCCTTCGTCACACATCGTCACAAAAAGCCAGCCCCCTCCCTTTAATAACGTCACACCTCAGCCAACAACCCCCCCACCCCCACTCAAAACTGCAGTTGAATTTTTCTTGAGAAATACGCTTTTTTTTTACAAAATCTTGTCTGTGTGTTTGTGTGTATATGTGGGGGGAGTGGAGGTGGGGATGGGGTGGAGGGTTGGATGTACGGGTGTCAGTGTGTGTGTCGGTGTGTGTGTATGTGTGTGTGTTTGTTATCGTGATCGTGATCGTGCGTATGAATGTCCGGGGGTGTGGATGTGAGTGTGTGTGGGTGTGGGTGTGTTTTCTACATTAATAAATGTCAACCAATATATCGACCTAAAGTATTCCAACAAAACGTTCAAGCAGATTTATGAAGATGATTTAATAAACAAAAAACTAACAAGTCAGTTTTCCGGACTTCCCATTTTAATATGAAATTGCCAAAATGTGATGAGATGAACCAACGGAACAGCTTAGTCGTAGAACTGACAGTGGATGTGGTCACCTTCATCTTGACCCCATCCCTGCATGGCCCTGGAAGTTCATTAATTAATTAGTTTAATTAGTCAAGGTTTATTTGGTAATAAAGCTATTCATATTCATATTCACATAATAAATGTAATGAAAATATAATGCAGATACTGTGTAGCATGGAAAAAGTAACAAAATATTTTAACCTTTAGTAAAGATTAAACGAAAGTGTCAAACTTAAGTATGAAGACAAAGTCTCGATTTAGAATGAAGACGTTGTCGACGTTTAGAATAGAGACACTTTTCAAATTTAGTCTTCTTCTTTCTTCTTATTTGTATTAGACTAAAGACAGTGTCTAGATTTAGTTTAAAGACAGTGTCCATATTTAGTCTAAAGACAGTGTCCAGATTTAGTCTAAAGACAGTGTCTAGATTTAGTCTAAAGACAGTGTCCAGATTTAGTCTAAAGACAGTGTCCAGATTTAGTCTAAAGACAGTGTCCAGATTTAGTCTAAAGACAGGGTCCAGATTTAGTCTAAAGACAGTGTCCATATTTAGTCTAAAGACAGTGTCCAGATTTAGTCTAAAGACAGTGTCCAGATTTAGTCTAAAGACAGTGTCTAGATGTAGACTAAAGACAGTGACTAGATTTAGTTTAAAGACAGTGTCCATATTTAGTCTAAAGGCAGTGTCCAGATTTAGTCTAAAGACAGTGTCCAGATTTAGTCTAAAGACATTTTCCAGATTTAGTCTAAAGACAGTGTCCAGATTTAGTCTAAAGACAGTGTCCAGATTTAGTCTAAAGACAGTGTCCAGATTTAGTCTAAAGACAGTGTCCAGATTTAGTCTAAAGACAGTGTCCAGATTTAGTCTAAAGACAGTGTCCATATTTAGTCTAAAGACAGTGTCCAGATTTAGTCTAAAGACAGTGTCTCGATTTAGACTAAAGACAGTGTCTAGATTATGTTTAAAGACAGTGTCCATATTTAGTCTAAAGACAGTGTCCAGATTTAGTCTAAAGACAGTGTCCAGATTTAGTCTAAAGACAGTGTCCATATTTAGTCTAAAGACAGTGTCCAGATTTAGTCTAAAGACAGTGTCTCGATTTAGACTAAAGACAGTGTCTAGATTTAGTTTAAAGACAGTGTCCATATTTAGTCTAAAGACAGTGTCCAGATTTAGTCTAAAGACAGTGTCCAGATTTAGTCTAAAGACAGTGTCCAGATTTAGTCTAAAGACAGTGTCCAGATTTAGTCTAAAGACAGTGTCCAGATTTAGACTAAAGACAGTGACTAGATTTAGTTTAAAGACAGTGTCCAGATTTAGTCTAAAGACAGTGTCCAGATTTAGTCTAAAGACAGTGTCCAGATTTAGTCTAAAGACAGTGTCCAGATTTAGTCTAAAGACAGTGTCCAGATTTAGTCTAAAGACAGTGTCCAGATTTAGTCTAAAGACAGTGTCCAGATTTAGTCTAAAGACAGTGTCCAGATTTAGTCTAAAGACAGTGTCCAGATTTAGTCTAAAGACAGTGTCCAGATTTAGTCTAAAGACAGTGTCTAGATTTAGTCTAAAGACAGTGTCCAGATTTAGTCTAAAGACAGTGTCCTGATTTAGTTTAAAGACAGTGTCTTGATTTAGTCTAAAGACAGTGTCCAGATTTAGTCTTAAGACAGTGTCTAGATTTAGACTAAAGACAGTGTCTAGATTTAGTCTAAAGACAGTGTCCAGATTTAGTCTAAAGACAGTATCTAGATTTAGACTAAAGACAGTGTCTTGATTTAGTTTAAAGACAGTGTTCATATTTAGTTTAAAGACAGTGTCCATATTTAGTCTAAAGACAGTGTCCAGATTTAGTCTAAATACAGTGTCCAGATTTAGTCTAAAGACAGTGTCTAGATTTAGACTAAAGACAGTGTCTAGATTTAGTCTAAAGACAGTGTCCAGATATACTGTGTAGATTTCACTCACGTGCATGTGCTGAGGTACTCGCTAGACCTGGCGTCGTTGTGGAGGTCAACGGCTTGACCGTTGTAATGTCTGGAACCACAGGAGTGGCAGGCACCTGCCAGTTCGTTCACCTGTAAGACACCACCAGAGAAGTTCAGTAGAGAAGAGAAAAAAATTCATTTGTTTTATATTGAATCCAACCAGTGGGGTTTCTTTCAGGCAGCTCAATAATTTTCAGTTTTGTGTCATCTTTCCCGATGTTAACTTCATCCGATCATCCCCCTCCTCCTCCTCAAAAACCACCGCCAGTTGCCTATTTACAAGAACCAGACTTACGATAACATGCCCCCTGTTGACCAGGGTTGTCAGGTAACTCAACAGGTTGTGTGTCAGACAGACGGAGCCTCCAGGTGTACCAGTGGGACAGGTAGAGCAGGAGTAGCTGGCGGTGATATACATTGATATATATATATATATATATATATAATATATATATATATATATATATATATATATATATATATATATATATATATATATATATATATATATATATATAATTTCCTTATATATGCCTATATATATATATATATATATATATATATATATATATATATATATATATATGTGTGTGTGTGTGTGTGTGCACGCGCGTGTGTGTGTGTGTGTGTGTGTGTGTGTGTGTTATTTATTTAATAGACTTCCTAAACCTTGTATGAACTCACCTAGATCTGGATGCCTTGAGACCGTTGCACATATCCCGGATGTTGTTGTAAGCGAAAGCGTTGTCCTGGACACCGGACGGATGGACCTTGGCCAGGCTGAGGATTCCGGCATTGGCTTTCTCCATGAGAGCACAGGCCATGGCTCTAGAAGCTGCTGGACACTGTCCAGCTTTATGACATACAAATACCACCGTTAGTGCATTTTAATGATGTTTTTCATTTATGTATTTTTTATATTATATTTCGCCTATAGAACATTAAAATCATAGACATATTAGGCCTACTTTCGACAATATGACTACACACTAGCTTTGTTCTAGAAACTTCAGCTATTCTAACCATACTGAAGATACTTAGTAAATTTTGTCATTATGTAGAATTATTTTGTCAGACTTTATAACGTGCAACAATTTATTTCAAATAACATAAGACAGTATTTGGAAAAAAAGAATAGGGTATTTCACGATTCTTTCCTGGTGTGGAACACTCCCCCCCCCCCCTTCCCCCCCCCCCATCCCCCCCTTCCCCCCCCCCCTCCCGTTCCACCTCACGCCTCCAAAGAAGAAAAATGAAATATATAGAAAATTAAAGTCGTCGTCGCCACCTCCCCCCCCCCCCTCCTCCACCCCCACCCCCCCCTTTCCCCCCCCCCCCCCCCCCTGTAAAAGATGCCAGAAACCATTGTTAGAGTAAGTGTCAAACGCCATCTAGTGGATAAGTTTGCATACATTTGTCCACATAAAATCCCAGTGTACGGTTAAACACATAATGTCTGTCCAATCAACTCAACAACTGAATGACTGGACTAAAAAAAAAAATCTCACTTACTGCAAGAGGCGGCAGGGTGTACGTCCAAATAGTTTCCTGCTATCCAGATCAGCTGTGAGAGAGAAAAAACGGTTATGGAGCAATTCATTGACGTTGGCAGGATTTTGGTAAGGGGGGTGGGGGGTTAAAATACGTATTTCGTGTTTGTGCGTATGTGCGTATGTGTGAGAGGGAGAGAGAGAGAGTCTTCACATTCAGAAATTTAATTTGAAAAAAATCAGCTTATTAAGAAATGTTAAAAGATAGCCTATCATGCAAGTAGAATTGTTAATAGTTACACAGAAGAATGTTTAGAAGATTTTGATGTTAACATCTAGATCTATTTGAACTTTTTCATTGTCAAGCATTTTTCTGATTATTTTAAATTACCTTTTTTCTATTAATCATGTATGTATTTATGTTTATAACACGTTTATTGTGTGCTCACCATTATTTTGCCTAATATATTTTAAAGTTTACCGTATTTTTAAATTTGTCATTTGAACCCAACTCACCCGGCCGCCATATTGAAGCTGGTACCACGTGTAGCCGTCAGCCGTCAGGATGCCGCCATTAATCTTACCACAGCTGCCAGACGCCAGCGTCTCGACCACGTGACTGCTCAGACCAGCTGGGGAAACAAAACAGGGTTTTAGGGCTCAGGGTTTAGGTAATCAAGGTTTTGGGGTTCAGGGTTTAGGCTTTCGGGGTTTTTTTGGGGGTTCAGGGTTTAGGCATTCGGGGTTTTTGGGGTTCAGGGTTAAGACTTTCGGGGTTTTGGGGTTCAGGGTTTAGGCATTCAGGGTTTTGGGGTTCAGGGTAAGGTATTCAGGGTTGTGGGGTTCAGGTTTAAGACATTCGGGATTTTGGGTTTCAGGGTTTAGGCATTCAGGGTTTTGGGGTTCAGGTTTTGGTGTTCAGGGTTTGAAACTTAGTTGCTAGCATTGAAAAAAGGGTTGTCCATAAATAACGCCACACTCTGGAAGGAAATGGGGTTCTGAATTTTGTGACGGTGTGTGGGGAGAGGTTGGGAGAGAGTTCAAAAATTGTAACAACACACTTTTTGCACTTTTAAAAGTCAGGTAAGAAACTGAATTTTAGGTGCTAATTTGTGCTTTACACACACACACACACACACACACACACACACACACACACACACACACACACACACACATATATATATATATATATATATATATATATATATATATATATATATATATATATATATATATATATATATATATATATATATATATATATATATATTTATATATTTATATATATACATATACATATATATATATAAATATATTTATATATATATACATATATATATATATATATACATATATATATATACATATATATATATATATATATATATATATATATATATATATATATATATATATATATATATATATATATATATATATATATATATAGTTGAATAGAAAAGAAAATTCTTGGCTAGATTTACCTGCATCTCTAGCGTTGACGCCTGCTGTGTTTGTGCAGACGCATTCGCCGCCATGAATTTGGTCCTTAATGAGGGCGCCGTTGACTACGGCAACAAGAACGGTAACTGCAAGGATGAGCATGTTGACAGCCAGACAAAGTTCCGATCAGCACGAATGTTTTCAAGTTTTATCTAAAACAAATCGTGCTCGTTCGTTCTCCTTTATATTAACAGAAATCTAGAACGTTCTACTTTGTGCCCTTTAAGAAAAAAATTAAACACTATCTATATGTCTTTGGCTTGAAAAAGACTTTTTTAAATTGTAAGAAGAAATATTTTATCTAGTGCCAAGATAAAATAATTCGATTCCCTGATTTAGAAGCACAGAGATATTTTTTAATGAACATTAAATTATGTACTTTTACTTAGGCATACGTGTTTGTCCGTAAAAAATAACGCGACAGGAGACTGGGGACTTGGAAAATTTCTTTTGCGACAGTTGAATAAAAGGCGGGGGGGGGAGAGAGAGCTGGGGGTGGGGGGGGGGGATAGAAACATTACATTGACTGTTTTATTTTTTAAATCCTTTTCGTGATAGTCATTGTTGTATTATAACGACATTTAAATTAGGTTAACGCTGGAGGTAGGGGGGGGGGGATGCAATTGGCGTCACGTATGAACGATGCCCCCCTCCCACATCCATTAGCTTCACAGGGCGGGGCAGGGTTGTAGACCGCACAGGCTTACAAGACTAACATGAAAAAGAAATGTAGCCATTTTTAATGAGAAAATCAGCTTTTTCCCAGTGAAGTCTAATTACTTATTAAAATGGTATTCATTATTAGGTACAGGTTGACACCATCAAAGACGGGCTGACACCAAACTGCCTTTTTTTAGTTGGTGGGGGGGGGGGGGTGACAACCCTGGTTTACCGCACCAGGTGTCACCCCACCGAGTAACACCCCTAGAGACAGCATGGAAAATTATCCGAAAATACGACAGCGTGATTTGGTGCCTTGCTCTACCTGTGGTCAGAAGGGTGGAGTTCAAATCTTGTCTTGTTTTTGTTGATTTCAAATCGTTTCAACTTAAATTTTACGTCGTTTCAAGTCGTGTATTTTATTTTATTTATTTTATATTTTTACAACGATACTTATCTGTTTACATCAATGGGACTTGAGTTTAAATCTTGTCTTGTTTTTGTTGATTTCAAATCGTTTCAACTTAAATTTAAAGTCATTTCAATAATGAGCGTTTTATTTTATTAGTTTTATATTTTTACAACGATACTTATCTGTTTACATCAATGTACCTGTGGTCATGTGACTTGAATTTAAATCTTGTCATGTTTTTGTTGATTGAAAATCGTTTCAACTTAAATTTAAAGTCATTTCAATAAAGTGTATTTTATTTTATTTACTTTATTTTTTTTTTTACAAAATACTTATTTGTTGACAACAATGTGCTCTAGGTGTTTACACTTACCATTTGTAGTCTATTTGACCAATACAACAGGTGAGCCTACATCGGAGCAGACGATAAGCTGATAAGAACAGGTTAAGTGCTACATGACATCGTGTGGGTTCCTGCAAGACAATTCTTGCTATTGAAGACATGATGTACAACTTCATGTGTGTCTTTACAACAAAACAAGGGTCTTGTTTTATATTTTATAGCCAAACTGTTTTAAAAAGAATTTTTTAGGCCACAGATTTACATTTTTTAAAATTTACTTGGTGAAGGAAAACAAATGTAGTTTTTAAAGTTGTCTTTTTAAGCGAAAATCTTTAAAGAGTTGTCAGTTAAGGGGTAATCAGTGTTTCTTCTAGACTTGTTTCTCTGGGGTGGGGGGGGGGGGGACATTTTTTCGGGGGGGGGGGGGGGGGGCGGACACTAGTAAAAGTGTATGTTTACTATGTAAAATCCATGTCGTTCGAAGAGATGCCTGGAAGAAACTCTGGGGGTAATTGGCAGTGGTTGTTAAACGTTTTGGAGGTACCGAACCCCCACCAGTTTCATATGCGCATTCACCGAACCCCCACCAGTTTCATATGCGCATTCACCGAACCCCCACCAGTTTCATATGCGCATTTGCTGAACCCCATCAGTTGCATATACGCATTCACCGAACCCCCACCAGTTTCATATGCGCATTTGCTGAACCCCACCAGTTTCATATGCGCATTCACCGAACCCCACCAGTTTCATATGCGCATTCACCGAACCCCACCAGTTTCATATGCGCATTCACCGAACCCCACCAGTTTCATATGCGCATTCACCGAACCCCACCAGTTTCATATGCGCATTCACCGAACCCCACCAGTTTCATATGCGCATTCACCGAACCCTCTAACAAAATCCGATCGTGAATCATGTGAGTTGGGTGTGTGTCTTGACCTCCGCCCAAACCCCGCTTTGAACTCACACCCAGTATGCACCACTATAAACCTTTAGGAAGGATGGATAGTAGAAATATAATTGTATATTTTAATGAAATATTAGTTAGATTTTAGAGGGGTAGTGGGGGCGCCAAGTGTGTATAACAAGGGCGCCTTTCTTCTTAATTTTAGTGTTAGAAGAAATTCCCTCCAACACACCTCTCGGGTGTTTTACAAGGGCGCCTCCCGGGTGTTTTACAAGGGTGCCTACCAGGTTTTACAAGGGCGCCTCCCGGGTGTTTTACAAGGGCGCCTACCAGGTTTTACAAGGACGCCTCCCGGGTGTTTCGAGTTATTCGGGGGAAGGGGCTGCAGGGACAAAGAGTTTGCAAACAGCTGTGTGTAAAATAGTCGGACAAAAAAGTTATCAGCATCAGAGGTCTGAGATACACCAAACGAACCCCGGGGGGGGGGAGGAGGAGAGATCCCGCTGGAGTCTGAAACACATGTCACGTGATATAATTTTTATTTAATTTAAACCCTCTGAAACAAACTTAATTAAGTAGGGGAAAATCCAAGCCAGGAATAGACCTGCAGTGATCTTTTTAAAAAATCTCGTCTAAGTCAGGAAAATAGCACTGTGACCTAGAAGCAGGGCCTTCTGCTTTCAGATAATTTTTTTTTTTTTAAAGCTTACACGATCATTCCTTGATGATAAATATTAAGTTAAACTTTTTCTGGAGTGGAGAGTTTTGACTTTAGAATAAAATATCACATACCCATCATTAATAATATTTTTTATGTAACTTATAAAGGTATAAGAACTGGAGTATTGCTTCAAATGTCGATCTTGGCTTAGCTGCTTTTGTCGACAACTTCGTGATGGCTAGAAAAAAGAAATGCAAGGGGAAATAACCCATTTCTCTCACGAAGGGGAGATAAGCAAAGTTTCAGAGGTTCAGAAACTAAAGGTTCCAAATGCGTATGCTAAAGAGGGAAAATAATTGTTTTTACCCGGTTTTGTAATACACAAATACAACCTAACAAAATGATGCTATAAACAATATGCTTTTATTAGTTTGGCTTCAAATAATATTCAGAAGACTTTGCTAAAAATCAAAGAACACTCAGCCAAATCACATAACCGGAGCTAGAAATAATGAAAACTAAATGTCTATTAAAAAAATCAAAGATAATAAAAAAACTAAACTCCAAAAGTATGTAAAATTATAAAAAAATATGAATATATTGTATATTAGTGCTAGGGCCCATAGCTCTAGAATTATTTTAAACAAACGTACAGCAAAAAACTAAAGTGACACAATCATACAACAACAATCTGCACAATCATACAGCAACAATCTACACTAACAATCATACAGAAACAATCTACACTAACACAATCATATAGCAACAATCTACACTAACACAATCATACAGAAACAATCTACACTAACACAATCATACAGAAACAATCTACACTAACACAATCATACAGCAACAATCTACACTAACATAATCATACAGCAACAATCTACACTAACACAATCATACAGAAACAATCTACACTAACACAATCATACAGCAACAATCTACACTAACACAATCATACAGAAACAATCTACACTAACACAATCATACAGCAACAATCTACACTAACACAATCATACAGAAACAATCTACACTAACACAATCATACAGAAACAATCTACACTAACACAATGATAAAGTACCAACCATCAAAAATTCACATTATTCACTAGATAAACACAAGTACTATTTTACTGGAGTAGTTTTACACTAGAACTCATAAGGCCAGATAAAACCTTGCAATTATAAACTAAACAAAAACCTAATGCATAGAACCATTACCACCTAATGTCAATTGGGGAAAAAAATTGGTTTAACATGAATACAGAAAAAGACATTTAAACGGAAAACTAATTTTTACGAAGTTAAAAAAAGTCTGTTTTAAGCAATGATATAGTCAAACTACTTTTATTAAATGATAATCTCTGTGATAGATGAAAACAAAAACTTAACAGAAAAATGTTATTTATATGCTGCCGTTAAAAAGACAAATAAGTAAACCACATCTTGTGGTGAATTAAATTTACATAATATATGAACAGGATACTTACAAGGTTACATATCAGAAAACTGAACAACATTTAGAAACTTGTTTATTATACATATGAAACAAAAATTTAATTTACAAAAATATTTACAAAATATAAAAAGAAAGAATTTAAAATCAATGGACAAAAATCAGCTGTTTCTACAATACGTTGGAGCTCTGCAATAAAGGAGTTATATAATATAAGCAGTCCTGCTGCATATTGGGTTTATATTTCTATGTCCAGATGATAACATTTGAACAGTAGAGTTGTATCCACATCAAGACATTTGAACAGTAGAGTTGTATCCACATCAAGACATTTGAACAGTAGAGTTGTATCCACATCAAGACATTTGAACAGTAACTGTTGAACAGGGGGTAGGGTTGGAATGTTGGGTGATTTGAGTGTGAAGTCACATGTAGATGACACAACGGTCAGTTGTTAGTTGGAATGAGTGATAATACATTTGTTCTGTAAAACTGATGACACTTGCTAGTGACGTGACAGGTTTCAGTATTTTAGTGAAGTGACAGATTTTAGATTTATAGTGCGCCGCTACTGACCTGGTCGTAACAATTAAAACCATTTACAATAGTTTTCTACCTAGTTCTAGAATTGGTTTTTTTTCTTCATTAATCTACAATAAAACAATGCAAAATCTAAAACATTCACAATAAAAAAAATCCCAGTTAACGTGTTTTATAAATTAAGCAGGAAATTCTTTAAAAACCACCGTATTAAGTGTAAATATTAAATAAGATGATTAAATAGTCACTGTATTCTGGGTATTAATAGACTAGTCACATGTGGTCTAGTTACATAAAATTTTCTAACAAATTTAAACAATCAGAAATAAGGTCACAGCGTTATTTTAAAGGTTTGATATAACACTGTTCATATTGCTATATCAGTCACAAAATATGATTTCATCCCTCATCATCAATCAACACATAAAGTCAGCAGAAATTATAACATACAGTAACTTAAGCATATTAATATTTAAATATGAAATTAATACTTAAATGCAGGTGATTTAATTAATGAAATGAACTAACTATGAAACTAAGTCACCAACAGTATCACATAGTTGTACTCCTCTGTAAACTACTTCTTGTGGACTGGTAAACTTCTTTATCTGCCGCACTTTCATTGTCTTCCAGCTTTGCTCGTTTGGCCGGTTTTTCTTTAGTCTCTCTCCTAGACACAGGCTGTTTCTGCAACTGTTTTGATGATGTGGCTGTGTTCGGAGATTGTTCAAGGTGTGAGGTTTTACTCGAACCTGACGTGGATAAAAGTTCAGAAGTGCCAAGCCTCTCAGAGAGGGAGACTGAGGCGCTGTCGGGATGTTTTTCTGAAGTTGATTCCATCTCACACGACATACCCAGTGGCCAGCTGGGTGGAGTCTTGCGGATGATGTGACGCAGTTTGTCTTTGATCTTCACAAAGTGTCTTTTGAATTCCAGACCATCACCCTATGGAAGACAAATATTCTTTAAATTAGTCACCATCTACTTATGTGGCTAGCAAAAAAGAAAAGACCTAAAAATCATGCCTCAAATCTTTTTTTTTAGCTGATTATCTCCTGCTCAATAGAAAAGGTTTTAAAACTATAGCTTCTATTCAGATGTGTCAACAAAAAGAAATTCTCTGCACACAGAAAAAATCCTCAAAAGATAAACAGTATGGCTATCAAGAGTTTTAACTAATTTGTTAAAGCATTACTTATAAAAATTTACAGCTTCACAATTAAGTTGTAAGTTGCTACACTTGCTATTCACCTAAAATAAATCATTAGCATTAGCAAAAACTTTTATCCCCAACTAAACGTTCCATAAACAGATGATAATTTTCTTTATTACAAGCCCACAGAAGCTCTGTATTTACAATGACAATTTATGCTGCTATGAATGAAAGCAAACCAGGTCTTTCCCCTCTGAATAAAAGCATAACAGTTCCTACCCCTGTAAATAAAAGCATAACAACTCCTACCCCTGTAAATAAAAGCATAACAGGTCCTACCCCTGTAAATAAAAGCATAACAGCTCCTACCCCTGTAAATAAAAGCATAACAGTTCCTACCCCTGTAAATAAAAGCATAACAGTTCCTACCCCTGTAAATAAAAGCATAACAGTTCCTACCCCTGTAAATAAAAGCTAAACAGTTCTTACCCCTGTAAATAAAAGCAATCTGCCCTTGCCCTATAAAGAAAGCAGATAGTCCCTCCCCTGCCTCTATGTCTGCAAGCAGATCAGTTCCTTCCCCTGCCTCTATGAATGCAAGCAGATCTTACCTTAGACAACCTGAAGTCCACCAGCAGGTTGCCAGCCATCTCAATGACACAAATTTTAAAAATCAGTCGCGACTTCGTCTTGTCTACAGTGCTGATTGTAAGCTGGGGATAAGAAATTTGTATAACACTAGAACTAAATTCACACAAAATGTTTGATTCTCATAAAAATCAGTTGCGACTTTGTCTTGTCTACAGTGCTGATTGTAAGCTGCGGATAGAACATTTGTAGAACACTAAAACTACATTCACACAAAATGTTTGAATCTCATAAAAATGCTGACAGTAACATAACAAGGATGATTTTCTGTCCCTACCAGGGTAAGGGGGTTAAGGAGTAAGATCAGAGCTCAGGTTATAGTTGGTACTGAGTACTAAGTTAGTACACATCTTAATATCAATATTAGAAAATGTTTATGACCAATCAGCACTTATTGATCAGCTTTTGTCATTGACTTAAATACCAAGTTTAAGTAATTAATTAATAAGTGAAAGCTGGCCACACAATCTCTAAAATACTGACATTACTTAAAAGGATGATCAGATCAGCTCAAGGGTCATACTTAAACAAAATGATGCAATTCTCCAATACACAATAAACAAAGTCATGAGAAAATACGCAATTCTCCAATACACAATAAACTAAGTCATGAGAAAATACGCAATTCTCCAATACACAATAAACTAAGTCATGAGAAAATACGCAATTCTCCAATACTCAATTATTAAGTCAAGAGAAAATATAGACTTGGTGCTGTGAGTTCACTGGAATATTTTCATACAAGTCTTACCTGTACGTTGGAGTTTTTCTTGACACCATAGCCATGAGATTCCAGAAACTCAGACATTTCTTTGATGGTTTCTTGACGTGTTGTAAGCACAAAGAACCTTGTCATTCTCTTCACTAATTTTTGGAATGGAGTCTTTAAAAAAAAAATGTATTCAAGTGAACATCAAAAATTACAGGAACATTCTGAGTCATTGCATCAATAGTTTGTACATTTTATAAAGGTTTTAATAGTGAAATGAAACAAATTTATTTTCATTAATTTGAAATATTAAATCATTTATTTTGAATAGGCCTAATAACATGATTTTATATTCAAAGATAATATAACATTTTATGTTCAATCGATATTTAATACACTTGTTAATTAATTTGAACATAGCAGTTATTAATAGTGTTCATTTTAGTATGGCTTTTTTTTTGGTCAATTTTAATCAATTCTATTAATAATTATGTGAATAATTTTTAGCAAAATCTTAAATGTTTTCATTTTTCTAATTTTTACTTTTTATTTCTAGTGAATGTATAAATATATTATTTGTAATTACTTAATAATTTCTAAAATTGTTATAATTAAAATTTTGCCATGAGATAGCCTGTACAGACCTGAGAAGTGGCTGGTGTACACTGCATCTGAGAGCTAAGTAACAAATCATCTGATTGGGCAGGCTGAGAGAAGCTCATGGGATGGCGAACTTCGGCCAGGGGAGACAATGAGTTCTCATTGTTGGACCTTTCTGGCTGTGACAAAATCCTTTAAAAGGGAAGTAAAAAAATTTAACCAATGCAGTTTAAAAAGTCTAGCTTTTCAAAAACATAAATAGTGAGCATGAAATTTTTGTTTACATTTGAGAAATATGAATCAATACACTTTAAAAGAAATTGTTTTTTTAAATTATGACTCTAAAATGTATTTTTTTTTAATTTCTGAATGGTAGTCTATTTAAAATGGTTATAAATCTAATAATCTATTATTTCTTGCATTTCTTTAAAAAACTAAGTTTTTAAAAAAGAAGAAATTTGAAATTGTTAAGTAGAGAAACAAATAATGATCTCACCCCTGAGGAGAAGACAGATGCCCATGCTCATCCATAATAGAATTACTCATGATCTGTTTAGTTGTGCTTGATGTGTTTTCATCTGAAAAATACAACAATTCGAATACTGACTTCATTAAATACAGATGCTATCACTAGAATTTGAATATTTTTAACTTCTGTACAGAATATCATATGTAATTGAAACAGATTAATATATAAAAACACTTTTAAGAAATGTAACAGAAAATTTAATATAAAATCTTTAAATTTGTTGACAAAGAAATAAAGCTTTAAGATACTAGTACCCTAAGATTTATTTATTTTATGATTATAATGCTATTTTTGGAAACATGAACCTCGTTCATTGAACATAATTTTTTACATGTGTTTCTAGAGTCTTATGTCTGTTTGTTTTTATATTTCATACTTGATTAATTAAAAGCAACCTAATCAAGACTGATACATACCTTCTGAAAGCATAAATCTCTTATTGTAAAACTGATGTTTTTTAATCTGTTCCAGTGTGTACCTTCTCTTGGGATCCTCTACTAACACAGACCTAAACAAGGCTGAAAAAAAGAATGTTTACAGTGCTCAGTAATATATAAGCCAGTGACTCACAAACCATTTCAAACAGCCATTAACAAACCAAATTTTTTAAACTGTAAATTTTTAAAATTTTAAACGGAAGGTAAAAACAACACTATTTCTGCTAATTTTGTATTCAAAGTGGGCTTATAATTTTTTTTTATTTTACGGTTAAATTGTTTAGCTTACACAAAGCTAGTGTGTCCATTTTGTTCCAAGGCTCTTTAGTTATGCATTTCTCTCTCCATTGTCTGTAAAGTCTGTCTCTCATAATGGGGACATCCCAGGGCAGTTCTGAAAGTTAGAGAAACACAGCTAATTAATTAATTAAACCAATTTAACTCTAATTCATTTATTCTTGATCCTTGAATTATATGACTGGAATAATTCAACTCACTGCCTGCTAGTAAAGTGACTAGAATAATTCAACTCACCACCTGCTAGTAAAGTGACTAGAATAATTCAACTCACCGACTTCTAGTAAAGTGACTAGAATAATTCAACTCACCGCCTGCTAGTCAAGTGACTAGAATGATTCAATTCACCGCCTGCTAGTAAAGTGACTAGAATAATTCAACTCACCACCTGCTAGTAAAGTGACTAGAATAATTCAACTCACCGACTTCTAGTAAAGTGACTAGAATAATTCAACTCACCGCCTGCTAGTAAAGTGACTAGAATAATTCAACTCACCACCTGCTAGTAAAGTGACTAGAATAATTCAACTCACCGACTTCTAGTAAAGTGACTAGAATAATTCAACTCACCACCTGCTAGTAAAGTGACTAGAATAATTCAACTCACCGCCTGCTAGTAAAGTAACTAGAATAATTCAACTCACCGACTTCTAGTAAAGTGACTAGAATAGTTCAACTCACCACCTGCTAGTAAAGTGACTAGAATAATTCAACTCACCGCCTGCTAGTAAAGTAACTAGAATAATTCAACTCACCGCCTGCTAGTAAAGTAACTAGAATAATTCAACTCACCGCCTGCTAGTAAAGTGACTAGAATAATTCAACTCACCGACTTCTAGTAAAGTGACTAGAATAATTCAACTCACCGCCTGCTAGTAAAGTGACTAGAATAATTCAACTCACCACCTGCTAGTAAAGTGACTAGAATAATTCAACTCACCGACTTCTAGTAAAGTGACTAGAATAATTCAACTCACCGCCTGCTAGTAAAGTGACTAGAATAATTCAACTCACCACCTGCTAGTAAAGTGACTAGAATAATTCAACTCACCGCCTGCTAGTAAAGTGACTAGAATAATAGCACAGGACCAAATGTCTGCAGGCTCCGCCCTGTAGGGCACGCCTTTCAGAACCTCTGGAGCCGTGTAAGGTTTGGTCCCACACATCCGACTGACTTCTCTCTCCGCACCCTTGTACCGGAACACTGTAGCCATCCCAAAGTCTGTTATTTGTAATACATCTAAAACAAAAAGAATATTTTTAAAGTGAGATATTAAAAAACTAAAGCAATATTAGACAAAGTAAAGCTACCCTTTAAACCTTTTTCCATAGGGCAGACGAAGTAGTGTTCCTGTGATCTTAATATAATGAAGGGATAGAATATTAATAATAATGAACCAGCAAGAGCGCTTAAACCAAAGACATGACATTTGGTTAAAGACTACATACCAAACAGTCTTAAATCAATATATGACACTTTATTTCTATTTATTAAAAACTTACCGTTTTCATCAAGAAGTAAATTTTCAGGTTTCAAATCACGATGGCAGACTCCTCTGCTGTGTAGGTATTCCTGAAGGGAACAGCACAGAAAATATCCAATTTGAGAATTCATGAACAGCATTGTCTTACAATTAAATAAGGAGTTGTTTTGTTTTGTTTTAAATTCATTTTATTTTTTAAATATGATACTAAAATTTGTTTAAATTTATAGAACTTAAAAATGTATTACATCTTAAAATTTTTGAAAGCCAATCAGCTCAAAAACTAAGCAAATAAAAACAAATATGCTAATTGTACAGCTAGTTGCGTCAGATATATTTAATATAATTCAATGCAATTTTGTTTTTCAAAAAGTTAAATCAATGTTGTTTAAGCATATACTTTTGTTGCTCCTTATCAAAGTAAATGTGACAAAAATACTCACAACGCCTTCAATCAACTGATGAAAGTATTTGAGTGCATCTCGCAACTTCATGCCTTTATCAGGTTCTGTGTAAAAAAAAAAAACAAGATGAGTTACACATTGACATAAACCTTAACTCTAAATCTCATGTTTAACATGATAATTTACAGCTTTGTAAATACAAAAAATTAGTTACCTATTCTGTCAAAGAGTTCTCCTCCACTAGCATATTTCAGAAATAAATATTGAATATCATTGGCTTTTCTGTACCCATAAAACTTAATGATGTTTCTGTGATCCAACATTTTGTGTACACAAATCTGCAGATAAAAAAAAAAACATTTCGCTAAAGTTTCAAATTATATTTTATTAACATAAGACAGCTAGGCAATAGAGCCCTATATCTTATATTGCTAGCTTAGAGTTCCTACGTTAATCAGAAATTTAATCAGAGCTGTAGACCTTAAAGCAAACTAAAGACTGAAACAGTTAGCCAATCCTTTTCTGAATAAATATTGAGTATTGACAAAATACTGCAACTTTCTTTAAATGAATGTAAACCTATCAGTGATCAACAATTTTTATCTGATGCTGTAATGGCCTTTACCTCTTTTCTGACATTTTCTTCCACAGAGCTATCTGTCAGATGTATTATCTTTACAGCAACACACTCCATTGTGGCGCGACAAACAGCCAGCTTTACCCTGGTAAGGAATAAATGTTGAATTAAGTTCTAAAAATATTTTTAAGAATTGTATCAAGTGTTATTTTACTTCCTACAAGTATATTACATACCTATATATTATAATGAAAAATACCAATGATATTATGCAATGACTAGTTTCCATTCCAAACCTCAGTATAAAAACAACATAATAGATTTAATTGACCACAAAATTAAAACGAGTTAATGTTACTCACTCTCCATAAGCACCTTCACCTAAAGTTTGAACAAATTCCCAGCCTTCTACGAATGGCTCTCTATACTGCTCCATAATGCTGCTTCCAGGATTGTATTGATGAGGTTTTAAAAGACTATCCTTTTTTAATCCATTTGTCTGAAAAAAATAAGTTTAGGCTTAAAAAAATGCATCTTTGGTAAAATTGGAAGAGAATGAACAAAAACAGACTCTTGGCAGTAGTAAGTATTGAATTCTGAATACTGCTAACACATAGCCTAGTTGTTTAACCATTTGGGTAGAACTCTTGCAAAATAATAATTTGTAGAAATCAGTTTAAAGTTTAGGCCTAAAAGCGAAGAGATTTCTGGGTAATCTATCGTTTTGGGTACGTAAAATCGCCCGCGGCTAGTAATGTACGAAAAAGTTACCTCATTGTCAAGGCTTTAATAGAAGTATATTGTGATATGTTTGTGTCAAATATTGTAGATAAATGAATAATAAACCTAAATCAATGGCTAAATATATAAATATGGGCCAGAAATTAACTTTAAACAGCAGTGTTTGCGAGCAAGATTTGCTATATAAACAGCAGCCATTTGTAAAATAGAGTGGCTTTCCCCTGAATCTCGCGCTATAAGGTTAAAAAAAAAATTAAACAGTATAGTAAATGAGCATGGTTGCAGCTGTTGGAAACATCGCTAGTCTTCATTTATTACTGAAAAGTTTTAATTCAACCGTTTAAAAACAGGTACATAAATGAAACAAGGAAACATTTTTGTATTTTTCAAAATATAAATCCTCTTCAAAATGTGAAATAATTATTAAAATTTAAGGAGTCATCTGTTTTTCACATTACTAGATCTAGACATCTAGATCTAGATTCTAGTCGCGGGCGATTTTACCTACCCAAAACGATAGATTACTCAGATTACCGATTTGGACGATTTCTGTTAGGAGTTAATGTTAGCTACTTGAGAGCTTTTCACAAAATACTAGATCTAGATTACATCAGCTAGATTCTAGATCCTCTAGATCTAGATCTAGTCGATCATGATCGCCCGAGTACGGAAGATTTCACGTTTTCTTGTTTGTTTTTTTTTTCTTTTGATCAAGTAAAATCAAGTTGATGGGCTTCAGTTTCAAACTTCGGTAATCTATCGTTTTGGGTACGTAAAATCGCCCGCGGCTATTAATGTACGAAAACGTTACCTCATTGTCAAGGCTGTAATAGAAGTATATTGTGATATGTTTGTGTCAAATATTATAGATAAATGAATAATAAACCTAAATCAGTGGCTAAATATATCAATATAGGCCAGAAATTAACTTTAAACAGCTGTGTCTGCAAGCAAGATTTGCTATATAAACAGCAGCCATTTGTAAAATAGAGTGACTTCCGCCTGAATCTTGCGCTATATGTCTATAAAAATAAAACTTTAACAAGATGGCTGCTATAGTAAATGAGCGTGGTTGCATCTGTTGGAAATATCGCTGGTGTTCATTTATTACTGAAAAGTTTTAATTCAATTGTTTAAAAACAGGTACATAAATGAAACAAGGAAACATTTTTGTATTTTTCAAAACATAAATCCTAATCAAAATGTGAAATAATTATTAAAATGTAAGAAGTCACCTGTTTTTCACATTACTAGTCGCGGCCGATTTTACGTACCTAAAACGATAGATTACCCAAACTTCAGACAGAAGCCAAGAAACTTTTTAATTTTATTTTACATAAGAAAAAGGTTTTAGATAGTAGATATGAAATATGTGAGATGAGCTTACGGCTTACTTCAATACAGATATTCTAGATTCTAGATAAAATCATTACTCTTTTATAAGACGACACTCGATCTGTCTCTTTAACTTTTTGCTTTCCCCGCCATTTATTTTAGGCGTTTCCTTAACTACCTTCATACAAACGAGAGGTAGAATCTAGGCCCCTGTCTTTATTATTTAATTTTACTAGGCCTATTCTATTTACTAAAGGCTTTAGTTCAACAACACAAGGATTGGCCTCCCCGCCTGTTATAAGGGTCATCCATTTATGATGTACACACAAAATTTGGAATTTCAGACCCTCCCCCACGTCCACTGTCGACTATTCCCTCCCCCCTCCCCCCCCCCCTTTTGTCGGCTTTTGTTCATCATGGCGTGCTAAAAATACAAAAATACTGCCCTGTATGAGACAGGCTACATTTCTCTAGGTCTCCCTACTCACGTTTTTTATGGGCGTTGGTTGTAACATGCACATGAACTACTTGACTATTATTTCCTACGAGCAGAGTTTCTTCCAGGCATCTCTTCGGGGGGGCTTCGCCCCCCCCCCCCCCCGAAAATTTTTTACCGCCCCCCCCCCGAACGAAATGAAATTTATATAATTTATATAGAAAATATATACTTTTAACAGTGTCCGCCCCCCCCCCCCCCGAAGAAAGTTTACCGCCCCCCCCCCCCCCGAAGATTTCAAGTGCCCCCCCCCCCCCCCGGAGAAAAAAGTCTGGAAGAAACACTGCCTACGAGCCGACCCGCGGCTGTTATAAGGGTCATCCATTTATGATGTACACACAAAATTTGGAATTTCAGACCCTCCCCCACGTCCACTGTCGACTATTCCCTCCCCCCTCCCCCCCCCCCCCTTTTGTCGGCTTTTGTTCATCATGGCGTGCTAAAAATACAAAAATACTGCCCTGTATGAGACAGGCTACATTTCTCTAGGTCTCCCTACTCACGTTTTTTATGGGCGTTGGTTGTAACATGCACATGAACTACTTGACTATTATTTCCTACGAGCAGAGTTTCTTCCAGGCATCTCTTCGGGGGGGCTTCGCCCCCCCCCCCCCGAAAATTTTTTACCGCCCCCCCCCCCCGAACGAAATGAAATTTATATAATTTATATAGAAAATATATACTTTTAACAGTGTCCGCCCCCCCCCCCCCGAAGAAAGTTTACCGCCCCCCCCCCCCCGAAGATTTCAAGTGCCCCCCCCCCCCCCCGGAGAAAAAAGTCTGGAAGAAACACTGCCTACGAGCCGACCCGCGGCGTATCATACGCCGCTATTTAGTTGTTTTATTTTCTACTTTTCAGTAATTCATAATTTATGAATTCGACAGTACCAATGCTGCCACTGAAAATATTTGCTTTAAAACACTAACCCCCCCCCCCCTTTCCCCCAACCCCTACCCTGCACCCCCCCCCCCCCCGTGAAAGCAGCCTCCTCTTAGTTACCTCCCTAAGTTTAAAATAGTTTCAAACTAAATTATCTGCCCCTAATAGCCGTCACAAACCCGGCTCTAAGATTTGTAAACATTTAGAGTGAACCACCGCTCACCAGACCATGTGGGGGTGGGGTGGGGTGATAGAGAGGAAGAGAGGGGACTGCAAGGCGCGCTTGTTAAGCTTGCAGCTTGTTTTCTAACGTCTCACAGAAGAGAATTATATATATAGAATAATATAGATGAAGGTATTCAGAATTCAGAACCAAACATCTTGAATATTTCATCAACTTTGTTTTCCTCTTTGTGTCCGAGACTTACGGGTCTGTCACAGAAAACTCCCTCCAGTTTTGTCGGTCTCCGGCAATTTTCCTGGCAGTTTCCCATGACATTCCTGTCTCTGCCAGCTGCTTCCCCCACCGTGCGTCTCCAATCCTTTGGCCTTCCCTGTTTTCTTTTTTCTTGAGGCGTCCAGTTTAGCGCCATTCCTGCGATTTCATCTGGACTCACTTTTAAGACGTGACCTATCAAGCACCATATTCTTTTTTCAATTATTTCGGAAACTGCTTACATTTCCAAGACTCCTAGTAGTCTATCATTGGATGTGGTGTTAGACCAGTTGATGCCTTTTATCCTTCACAAGCACTTAGTTTGGAATATATACCCGTAACTTTCGGGTTTGGAAGCACACAGTCTGGTATTTAATCTGACATATAGGCCTCCTCATTTTTGGAATCCCTTTATTCAGTGGCAATGCTAGGTCGGGTGTCACCCGTTGACGTCTCTGCCTTCATTTACAATTGTTGCTCATTAGTCAATAAACACGTCATCAATTTCATTGATCTACCCAAAATCCTGTTGTTCCATGAACTCTTCATAACATCCGCTTTCATCGTCAATTCAGTGATCGGACTAGCAAAGTCTTGTATACCTCCCCCCTCCCCTCCGTCACACATCGTCACCTTCAAAATTGCATTTGAATTTTTCTTAAAATACGATATTTTTAACACGTTTTTCTTAACTCAGCTTCGCGTTTGTGGATGGATTTGTTTGTTGTTAAAATTGACATCGAAAATTAGCCCACTTCTGATTGCTCTAGAGATCTGAAATTTGGCATACAGGCTACTTTCGCCTAACAATTTCAGATGCAATCATAAAAACTAGCACTTAGAGACCGTAATTAGCTTAATTTAATTACGCCCCAAGGACCATAAAATTGAGGACATGATTTCTAAAGATACCGACAAGACTGGAGGCCTATTGACACAGTTACTTCGGCCTCAATCGATGTGAGCGCGCTGGCCGTGATCGTATAGTGGTTAGTACTTCGCGTTGTGGCCGCGACAACCCAGGTTCGAATCCTGGTCGCTCAATATTTTTAGTCCGTGTATTTATAAACACTTAGTCAATTCATACTTAATCAAGTCATTAGATAAAGTAGAAAATAAACTATATAATAATAATCATTAAAAAAGTTTTAAAAAACCCACGTTTTCTGATTGAACTAAAAAGTAGAAAATAAATACTATACATACAATAATGCAAGCGATCACTCTACTATAAGCTATCAAAAACGTGGGTCGCCGAAGTAAAAGTTATATTACTATTGATTAGATAATACTATTGACTTTTATTAGGGAGCTTGTAGAGAGTCAACAGTATTAGAAACTGTAAGAAAATCACGGCGCCCCACGTTTTTGATAGCTTATAGTAGAGTGATCGCTTGCATTATTGTATGTATAGTATTTATTTTCTACTTTTTAGTTCAATCAGAAAACGTGGGTTTTTTAAAACTTTTTTAATGATTATTATTTTCTACTTTTTAGTCTTTGTCTGTTTGTTTGCATTAAAATCTTGCTATCGATTTTATCTTTTCACTTTTTTTTTGGGTAAACGAAGACAACTCGTAAAAAGACAACTCGTAAAAAGACAACTCGTAAAAAGACAACTCGTAAAAAGACAACTCGTAAAAAACATGTTGTTTGAATACGTTACTGACTAGAACACATAGATTTGAACCCGTGTCGAGTGGGATAGCAATCGTGTGCCCAACCACTCGACCATATCGTCTCCCCCAAACTGGCCTACCTCCTGTAAGTTTAAACTCGGTTCAAGCTAAATTCTCTGCCCCTAAGCCTGTGGCGACATGTGATCGTTCGCTTCACTGCGCGCGAGGTACGCGTCGCTGGTTTTTTTTCTAATGGCTAGCAGAGGATAATTATATATATAGATTATATAGCGGTCTAAAATGCTCAATACAATGTTTCCATTGATCAATTTAGTAATAATAACAATTGAATATTCAATGGTCATCCAAAAGAAAGCTTCCCTGAAAATTTCAGCGCGCTAGCTAACTGGGAAGTGCCAGAAATTTCGATCGCAAGATTTGATTGGAAAGACAAACAAACACACAAACAGAGAAAGCAAGTTAAAGAAAACGTGGGAAAAAAAAACGTGGGTCGGGCAGATGGGTCGGGAAATTTGATGTTGAATCTTGTCTGAATTCTGTCAACATAGAGTATTTTAATCTTAGGCGGGATCAGGGTTCTTCTTCTTCTTCTTCGTTCTTAATTATTAGTGTTGAAGGGGGTCGAGATTTATCTGCCAGTGGGTTTGAACTCGAGACTTTGTTCGAATTTATCAACCATGAGCTTTTTGCCGACTTGACCGCGCCTCCAACACAATTAAGCGTTACGTGTCAACTGGTTATGCGCCATTGAGGCCATTGACTCCGATTTCAGCCTGCTTTTCTTTTTGGATTTGCTTCCATAGCCTTTGCCCAACCAAGAACAAACTACAAGGCAGCAGTTGTTTGATTTTTGGAGTTGTCTCTCCTAGAAGAGTGGCTGTCCCCAGCTAACGAGCCTCATCTGCCCGAGGGTTCGAACTCGAGACTTTTCGGTTTAGCAACCATGAGCTTTACCAACTCGACCACGCCGACCCCTGGGATCAGGGTTGAAAACCGCTAGTGGCCCGCTGTCACCCGACCTAAAAAAAAATCACTTCCTTTCCATATAAAAAAAAAGTAATAATTAATTGATAACTTGATAGTTAGAATTTATATAATCGCATTTCTGCTGTTCAAGGAGCTGGAGAGCGGCATCTTGATATCAAAAGAGTCGCATGCGGCTCGCGAGCCGCAGGTTGCCGACCCCTGCTCTAAACCATCACCAGGGGCGGAACTACAGTGCCGCCAGACCCCGCAATGCGGGGGGGGGGGGGGCCCATGACATTTACCTAGCTGTAACGGTACTCAAGTTATCGTGTTTACACACAGACACACACACACAGACACACACAGAGACATACGGAAAAGATTGCAAAATTATGTTTTTCCGTATCAGTGAGGTGTAAAACGTCGAGATTTGTAAAAATCTCGATTTTTTTTTTCCACGATTACAAGACTTTCTCTATACTTCGTATATACGAGAAAGTAAAAAATCTAATTTTCTTGCAATTTTTGACTTAATGTTTGTTTTGTAAAACGATTACCATAGCTGCGGTTTGATTATCTTTATTCTATAGACACCATCCCCACGCTCTTGTATATTCTTTTTCCCTTTGTTTTTAAACCACTGTGAAAGCCAAATCCTCTCTCTTCTACTTAACATTCAAAGATAAGCAAACGTTCAAACCACGTCCATGACTTATTTCCCTTTTTTAAATAGTCAAATTGGGGTGCTCATAAGCTCCTTTTAATAGATTTGTTGTACTAAACAAATTAAAAAGCAATTACTTATCTTACTAAATATTTTTTTCATAAAGTACTTACTAAAGAATGACCTTGTATAAAAAGGAAATGTATTTAAAATCAATAATATAAATACAAAAAACATAAAAATAATCATAACACGAGACACCATTACTTCTACAAAACATTTTTTATATTCTTTAGGCCAGATAACCGTTTTAGAACACATAGCACAGGGGTTCCCAACCCCGTGCCCGCGGGCGCCGTGCATGGCGCCCCCGCCGAACGATTCGAATGTGCCCGCCTCTCACTATTCGACAGAGACAGAATTTTTTCATAAACATTATTGACGGGTTGAAGGGGGTGGAAATCGAAAGTTTGAGGGAGAGGGATGCATGCAAATCGAAAATTTGAGGGGGGGGGGGGGGTTGCAAATCGAAAGTTTTGTCCCGCCTGAAAGTTTTTTTTGCGGGGTGGCCCTTTTTTTCTAGTTCTGCCACTGACCATCACACACCTTCTTTAAATCTAACATATGGTAAACCAGTGTATAGAAGCATAGGCATGCATACAATTAGTAATTTTTAATTAAAAAAAGGAATGTTTGTTTTTGTTCGATTTATAATGATGGAACATTAAGACGCTGTGTGTGTGTGTGTGGGGGGGTCTTGGTGGGCAACGTGAGACTACAGTAGGGGATAAATGTGACCAAATAAAACGTGACATCAAAACCCATCCCACGGTTGCAGTTTGCAATAGACTAAAGAAACCCAACGTTCGCCATTTCCAACATAAGACACCCTAACAAAAATCTATCATTGATCTCCTCTGGGTCTAGAACTCTAGAAGCGGTAGCGTTGTTTTTGTACAACTTTTTCTTTTTATCTCTCATCAAATACTTCATAGTCTTCATGCTAGTAGTAATAGTAAGCATAAAACAATTATTAATCAGCGTTTCTTTCCGATTGTTTTATGCTCCGAGAGGGGGGGGGGGGGGCACTGGTAAAAGTATATATTCTCTAAATAGATTCTATTTCGTTGGGGAGGCGGGGTGCCAAAAAGAAACAATGTTATTGATATTAAGCCCTAAGTAGACCATGGAAAACTATATCTACTTCCTGCAGTATTTCTAATCCATGCAGTTAAAGTTTTGGTGTAATTTTATTTAAGATCAATAATTATACAGAATAGATCTAGATTATATCACAACGGGTATGTTTGGCTATTACTATTACTCAATTTACTGCGTTTTTTTACGGCATGTTACTGAAAAATCAAATAAGGGGAATTAAGTCAGAATAAATGTTTAGGTCTCACAAAAGATAACCTGTTCCGGCTTATGTATAAATCCGCGTACGATAAATGAATCCACAGTTAATTCTCAAACTTTACTACAAATTACATATTTTCTCATTAATTTACCACAGTAATATTTTACACCCTTTATTTTTCAAGGTAGAATTATTTTTAAAATCTTCATAGTAACCGAATCGAAATAGCGCAGGAATTGTACTTTTGACGTGGAAGTATATCCACCATTTTGTTGACACTGGAACAGTTTACGTAGTTTTACACCGGTTACTAAAATTATCTATTGTTAGTAGCTAAAATGGTACGTATTCACTTTAGAATATTCCTTTCGTTTGTTATAACTTCTAACAGTTTAACTTTTTGATGCAGGGATACTTGTTTAGTAATAATATTCTTAAAATAAGTGATAGAAATCATCATCATGGCAAAACTTAGAAATCGTGATGCTGAGTCTCACAGTCTGAGCTAGCCTAGAAAAAAGTATAATAAACTAGAATCTAGATTTCTAGATCTAGATTTCATTGAGTGGTTGTTAGAGATTTTGAGAATAAGGTAGAGATATAGGGAAATGATATCTATTACTGTAACCTGAAGTAACAAACAGATCTAACAGTAACACCAGAAGAAAAGGCAGTGAGTGATGAAGTTAAATAAACCGGTAGTGATCTCCCCTAAACTTTCTCGAATATTAGTTTTTCTTACTATATGTGAAATCTACTCAATTCTCAATTTAAACATGACAACTGAATAAAAAACGTCCATACTTTATCCTCTAGGCACTAATTTGGGGGTTGTAGCGAGTTTAGGCTAAATTATTGAATTTTAAAATGTTTTGTCACTCACAGCTATGATATGACGGATCATCCATGACAACCTGGTTAAAAGTTGAAAGGTTTAACTTTTTAAGTGACCGTGAAATAGATCTAATTTTTTTTCACAAGAGAGTTCCTAAAAGTAGAATTGGCCCGTCTATCGTCGGGATATATTTATAGAGGAAAAAAATTTAAGAGAATGTCATCAGAAAAGAATTTTAAAAAAGACAAGACAGAAGTGATGTTTGAATTCTTTTATTTCTTTAATTTTATAACATTTTTTATTGTACAAAAGAGCAAAATAAAAAACCATGCCAGGTAAACGTATCCATTCAAATAGCGGTCACGTGGTCAAAAAAAATAAAAAAATGTGGTTGTCATTTTTTGGACACATAATATAAAAAAAAGTGTTGCAGATATTTGATTTATTTTTTCATAGAATGATAAAACTAATAATGCTTTAGTATGGAAATCAATTTTGTAATATGGAAATCGATATTTAAAAAGTTCTAGTATTTTTGATGAAACCAACTTTTAAATTTAGCCTTCATTCTCCAACGCAAATTTTAAAATGCTTTTCTGGCATATATAGCCCTGCCACCTATAGCTTGTCGTTATAACGTGAAAGTCCCGCCATTTTGCGCGTGGTAAACATTTTAAAAACTAATTAGTAGAAGGTCTCTAGAATTTGGCAGAAAAATCGTCGGAAGTCAAGCGTCCGGTCCGGGCGCCATATTGTTGTTAGCAACCGGCCACGCCTCCGGGTTAGCGAGAAATACTATCGAATATTCTTATATAAAACAACAGGGGATGGTAACTGGGGATATAGTTATGATTTTTAATCCATTTTAAATACTGAAACTTTTAAAAATAGAATAGAATCTCAGGAAAAAACAATTGCGCACCAAGCGAACGCCTAATAACGGTGTGTATAATAGTGCGCAATAGTATTAGTACTTAATAAATTTACATTAGTTTTTTGAGAAATCGGAAGTAGCGTAAATTACTACTTCCGGTCAACGGAAATTACTCAAAATTTAACAGAAGGTAGAGAATTAGATCTTTTACTTACATGTGAAATTTCATTTATCTATCTGAAATAGTACTCAAGTTATAGGCTTTTGAAAAATTCAAAGTAGAAAAAGTACCACTTCCGGTTGTGGGAAATCGCTCAAAAGTTGATACGGATCTACGATTTTGATATAATACTTATATATGAAATTTCATCAACCTAGCTGTAACGGTACTCAAGTTATCGTGTTTACACACGGACACACAGACACACACACACAGACATACGGACAAGATTGCAAAATTATGTTTTTCCGTATCAGTGAGGTGTAAAACGTCGAGATTTTTAAATCTCGATTTTTTTTTTGCACGATTACAATACTTTCTCTATACTACGTATATACGAGAAAGTAAAAATGAAGTGTTGGGCCCATTTCAAGCCATTTGTACTTTTGTAGAGGTTTTTTTTTCTGTTTAATAATATTAGAGGCCTATTTCATAATTAGTAGTTCATGGTTTGGCAAAATACCAGAAAAAAACCCTCTGATGCTAAGTATTGGGTTTGGGTTGTTGCCTGGTTTAGGTTTTACTTTTAGGCAAAGAATGGGGAGGGGGGGTCCTCCCTGGGATGAATGAAAACTTTGTTGAAAATCGCTGAAGGCGTATCCATTGACATTTTAATACAAGTGTATATAAAAATGGCTGCTAGTTTGAGACATACATGAGTAAAAAATGGAGATCCTGAATCACAACTATTAATTAACCAACTTTGGTCATAAGGAATGATTGTTGACACATCACTACACACTACACTTACAGTACAGTATTTAACTGCTCTGTTTGCCTATTGTCCACCTTTGAAACTCACCATACCTCAAGACCAGAGTGTTTTAAAACAAGTACATTTCACTTCCACTCTCTATGTTAAATATTTGAACATAAAAAAATTGCTATCATCGATTGTAATATTAATACTATGTAGCATAATAATATAGGCCTAAAACCTCGTTTTTATTTTTCTTAACCAATTTCTTGAGTTACTTGTATCTACAAATCAATTTAATAATACTGTTACTGTTACACAAATCATTAATGCTTTCATGCAAATAAAACATCTGGTAAACTAGCTATAGGCCTTCATTTAAAAAAAATATGTTCCTCTGGGACTACTTATTAGCCTACTAAAATATGCTTATTTCATAGTGGCATAACTAATAACTTACTTAATTGACCTTTTGATTCATTAGAAATAATATAAGTAGGCTTTATGCCTAAAAAAACCTTATAAAACAAAATATATTTATTTGTAGCCTATTAGTCAGCTGTCAGTTGTTAACGTTTTGTTTTTCAAGGTTTCATCCACCATGCACTAATTGTAACAGAATTATTTCAACCCCATTAAGGTTCTTGTCTTAAATTTGGTTTTACTTTTAGATTAATTGTAATAGATGTAGCCTAATAGAATAAATTAGATAAAGAAATAAAAATGTAGTGAAAACACGTGAAATAGGTAAATGTGGTACATAAAACAATTGTTAAAACAATTGGAATTGCTCAGTTTTCTTAACAGTTAATCATCATGGTTAGATTATGCATTCGTTCTCTGACTATTTAATTACATTACTTTATATAATCTCTTTAGGTGCTGCTTGCAGCGGCTGTTTGTAATCGATCTGGAAAGGGTAAGTTATTTTTTTTTAAATTACTTAATTTTAAGCATTAAATAATATAAATTAATGATCATTATTTATTTACAACAGTTTATTTATTTACAACAAACATGTTTATTGGTTTACTTATACTTTTAGTTAGCTGATTCAAGAAATATTAAAGTTATGCTGATTTTGTTAGTGAGAAAGTCTTAACTATTGTTTAAAATTTTCAGTCATCATCTCAAGACAGTTTGTTGAGATGACCAGATCACGTATTGAAGGTCTTTTGGCCGCCTTTCCTAAACTGATGGGCACAGGGAAACAGCACACTTTTGTTGAAACAGAAAGTGTCCGCTATGTGTACCAGCCTCTAGAGAAGCTTTATGTTCTACTCATCACCACTAAAGCTTCAAATATTTTGGAAGATCTGGAAACACTCAGACTCTTTGCTAAAGTTGTAAGTATTTAATAACTAAATAAAAATCAATGTCAAGTTGAGAGATGACAAAAATTATTAATTCATTAAACCAGCACTTGCTATTAAAGTAAATTTGTTAATGCTTCAGTATGTGAGAAGTGCTTTTAATGTATTCTTATTTTAGTCTTTAAAAACTGATTGTAAACCTATTTTTTAAGATTGAGTTTTATTTTGAAGTTCAAAAATTCTTGAAACTTTTGTCCACAGTTGCCAGAGTACTGCCGTAACATGGAGGAAACAGACATTGTTGATCAAGCCTTTTCTCTCATATTTGCATTTGATGAAATTGTTGCCCTGGGTTACCGAGAGAACGTCAATCTTGCCCAGATCAGAACATTCACAGAGATGGATTCTCATGAAGAAAAAGTCTTCCAAGCTGTTCGACAGGTCAGTCAGTCATTTTTATCACAGGAAAAAAATACTCTGTTGTAATAGAACATCCTATTTATGAATGCATTGAAATAAAGTGCTTATCTAATCTGGATTTTGTGCTTTCTTAGACTCAAGAAAAAGAGGCAAAGGACCAGATGAAGAAAAAGGCTAAAGAGATCCAACAGAGAAACAGGGAGATGCAGAAATCTGGTCGTAATCCAGGGTTCACCAGTGGGGGTGGTTTTGGCAGTGGCACTTACAAGAATGAGACAGTACCAGTCATTGACTCTGGCTCCAATGTTGACAGTACTAAACCTGCCTACAGTAAACCCAGGTAAAGTTGGGGGCAGCTCTCAGTAGGTTAGGCCATGCTGTTAAAAAAGTTACCTTGTTTTATATAAAGAAGGAAAGCTTTTTAAAAAACATAAATCACCCTGTTACTTTATACTTTTTTACTCTTGTAGTAGCAAACCTTCCACCGGTCCAAGTCGTGCTCTTAAACTTGGCTCCAAAAAGAAAGATGTGGACACATTTGTGGGTCAGTTACAGTCTGAAGGTGAAAGTAAGTGTACATTTATTTACTACTCCCATTACATAACTAGCTTGTAATTATCACTAAAATTGCTTTTAACGGTTGCCTAAATTGGAATCCTAATATATTGTATCACTTTTATTATTTCAAAGGAGTAACAGATTCGTCCAAGCCTTTAAATGCACCTATAACTAAGACCATCATGCCAACTGCTAATCAAGAAAGGTTGGTTCATTTTGATTTTCTAGCATTACTGGCACTTGTATGCGTGGCATATTTGTAAACATTTTTGTTTGTTTCTGCCAGTGTACACCTCGTTGTGGAAGAAAAAATCTCGCTGACAGCTGGTCGTGATGGTGGCTTACAAAATATGGAGATTCATGGTATGTTGAAACTCAAGATCAACGATGAGAAGTCAAGCAAGGTCAAAGTAATGATTACACATAATGACAACAAAGGTATTCAGTTGCAGGTAATACTCATGTTTTAAAATTCTTCTTTTTTTACTGCTAGATTTTTGTGAATTAATTTCTTCTTGCATTTGTGATAGTAAACTTGTAAGTAAAGAAATATATAGTTTAGTATCTATTTTAATACTTTTAGTCAGTGTCTTATCCTTAATTTTTGTAAACAAAACAAATTAACACCTATTTATGCTTAATAAAGTAATTGAATAAAGTAATTTTTTGTACCTAATGGTCAGTAAAGTAGAGTATGCTTGCTGTTTTCTTGTATTTAAGAAGGAAATGTGTAATTTCCCCAACTATACTACACATCAGATTTAGGTAGATTCTAGAACAGTATACAGACTTGCTTCCAGAAAATAAACACATACTTTTTGTTTTAGCAACATGTATGCTGGCCAATGGCATCTCATAAAATATATAATTGTGCTCACTCAAATTCTTAATAAATTGTGTGTTAGTCTATTTGTATGTAGATCAGTGAGTAAATACTTCATTAAGTTGATCCTACTCCCGCATTTTTAAAATAACCTATAGAGTTGAGAGTTGTGCTTAACATGTTTTTACAACTGGTATGTTTCAGACCCATCCAAATATAGATAAGAAGCTGTTTACCCAGTCCTCTGTCATCAGTTTAAAGAACCCAGAGAAACCCTTCCCTGTTGGACAGGACATTGGAGTTCTCAAATGGCGGTTCCAGACACAAGATGAAAATAACATGCCACTGTCCAGTAAGTTGATTCAGATATTCATCTCATGCACATAACTCTGGTTATCATCAACTCTTTGAGCCCAGAATTATTTACGTTTCACCTGAATTTTTTTTACACTCAATTTTTTTTTTGTACCTATGTCCAAAAATGACTCGTATCTTTTTACCTGTTGATCTAAATAAAACTCCCACAATAAATTTAAACTGATTTTTTTATATTTGATAATAAATTTTTTCTTTTTTTTAAATAGTAAATTGCTGGCCCAATGAGAATGGAGAGGTTAACATTGAATATGAGCTAGAACAAGATAATATGGAACTAGAAGATGTACAAATTAACATTCCTTGCCCGTAAGTCTTTACATTATTTTCCCACGTTTTCTTTAACTTGCTTTCTCTGTGTCTGTGTTTCTGTGTTTGTTTGTCTTTCCAATCAAATCTTGCGATCGAAATTTCTGGCACTTCCCAGTTAGCTAGCGCGCTGAAATTTTCAGGGAAGCTTTCTTTTGGATGACCATTGAATATTCAATTGTTATTATTACTAAATTGATCAATGGAAACATTTTATTGAGCATTTTAGACCGCTATATAATCTATATATATAATTCTCCTCTGCGAGCCATTAGAAAAAAAACGAGCGACGCGTACCTCGCGCGCAGTGAAGCGAACGATCCCACATCGCCACAGGCTTAGGGGCAGATAATTTAGTTTGAACCGAGTTTAAACTTACAGGAGGTAGGCCAGTTTGGGGGAGACGATATGGTCGAGTGGTTGGGCACACGATTGCTATCCCACTCGACACGGGTTCAAATCTATGTGTTAACACAACGTGTTTTTTACGAGTTGTCTTTTTACGAGTTGTCTTTTTACGAGTTGTCTTTTTACGAGTTGTCTTTTTACGAGTTGTCTTCGTTTACCCAAAAAAAGTGAAAAGATAAAATCGATAGCAAGATTTTAATGCAAACAAACAAAGACTAAAAAGTAGAAAATAATAATCATTAAAAAAGTTTAAAAAAAACCCATGTTTTCTGATTGAACTAAAAAGTAGAAAATAAACGCTATACATCACAATAATGCAAGCGATCACTCTACTATAAGCGATCAAAAACGTGGGGCGCCGTGATTTTCTTACAGTTTCTAATACTGTTGACTCTCTACAAGCTCCCTAATAAAAGTCAATAGTATTATCTAATCAATAGTAATATAACTTTTACTTCGGCGCCCCACGTTTTTCATCGCTTATAGTAGAGTGATCGCTTGCATTATTGTGATGTATAGCGTTTATTTTCTACTTTTTAGTTCAATCAGAAAACGTGGGTTTTTTAAAAACTTTTTTAATGATTATTATTATTGGTTTTCAGTTTATAAAATGTATAATTATAATAGAATAGCTAGTCTAATATTCATATTTTTAAGGCAATTCTGTTATCTTTTGAAACTTGCATGCCATGCTAATGCCACATCTCTTGTGTCAGGAGTGGTGCAGGGGCCCCTGTCGTCAATGAATGTGATGGTGACCATCAGTATGACAGCCACAAGAAGACACTGTATTGGAGGCTTCCATTCATTGATGCCTCCAATAAGACTGGGAGCATGGAGTTCACAATCAAAGGACACCCTGAAGATTTCTTCCCCATCAGCGTCAGTTTTGTTTCCAAACGCTCCTATTGTGATATCATCGTGAGTTTTGTTCATTTTATCTTTGTCTCATCTGATGTTAACTCAGTTACTTGGATTGGGGTTCTGTAGTTCACTGGTTTCTGTAGCATCTCTTAAAAAGGTCGGGTGGATCTACAACCTATCTAGACATATAAGTAAAGATACTAGCTGCCGTGAGGTTTTGCACATTTTATCTTGGTCTCATCTGATGTTAACTCAGTTACGTTGATTAGGGTTCTGTAGTTCACTGGTTTCTGTAGCATCTCTCAAAACAGTCGGGTGGATCTACAACCTATCTAGACATATAAGTAAAGATACTAGCTGCTGTTAGGTTTATGCACATAGTAATAAAACGGGTAGTGATAGTATCCTCATAAATTCATGACAATAACAGGTACATTGGGTATTGTGACCAAAGATGTGTGAAATGTCCATGGTACCTGTTACTGTCTGTGTGCTGATGAAGACCTTTGGTACCTGTTATTCTCTTGAATTTGTGAGGATACTAACACTAAACATTTTATTACCATTTTAATACTGATTGGGTACATTTTATGCATTAGTAGTCGTCTGCATAAATCTCTATTTTATGTTGTCATAGACACTGCACTTCTAGTGTGTTCTACATAAGCAAAGGAAATGTAACTAACTAAAAAGTAGCTTCCAGAGATAAATTATTTCAGAAAAACATGTACTTTAAAATACTTTACAAGCTTTACGCTGTTTTCCTTCAATACCAGCCTTAGCTTCTCAACTCAGTCTAGCAACTATAATCAATATCAAAGTTTTAACAATTTCTATCAGAAGAATCTTTGATTTTATGTTATCTAAATTAAAATCTAAACAAAGAATCTGATTTTAAAAACCCATTTGTTTCAGGTGAATGAAGTGCAGCAGATAGATAGCGGAGCTCCAGAAAAATTCTCATCAGAAATAGTCTTCTTTGTTGAAAAATATGAGATTGTTTGACCTATTCAATGCTATGGATTTTTTAAACCTATAAACTGAGTGTGTGTTGCTATGGATGCTGTGAATGATGGGAAGGATTAGTATGAATGTCTAGTCTGGTTATATTTTTTCTTCTGTATTTCTTTTGTTTTCCTTGAGAAATAATGTTAGACTGAGGTGGAATTTTCTTTTCACTGTAAAAAGTTTTCACTACATTGATTACTTAAGTAATATGAACTGCCATTAAAATGATACTTTGCTATCATTTTTACTATTCATCACCATGTAGGTGTATAATAATTTATGAAACTGAACTGTCATTGAGTAGGCGTATAGTAATGTATTAAGTAGACAAATAACATCAAGTTCACTAAGTATTAAGAGCTCATGTTAAAAAACTATTGCAATATCAATAGAAAAGAAATATTTAAAAATAAAACTTAGTCATCACTGTTGATTTATTTTATTATTTTGTTTATAATTTTTAAATACAATTTCAAATGCTGTTATTTATTTATTTTAAACTAGAAAGTACATTAAATATAAAATATTGAGTATTTATTTGTGTAGATAAACTTCAACTCTTACTGCAGCCATACCTTGTGTGCTGTTTAGGACTGAATGAACTATGAAGTGTTGTCTGTTGTCCTTTGTATTGTACATTGAATGGACCATCAATTTTACGTTAAATGTACCAAATCTAAGAATTTTTTTTTTTCAATTTTTTTTATCGATGACTTGAATCTAATCAATTTTTTATTTTACTTGGTTTATGTCACAATTTGTTGTCTACAATTAATTTTGTATGTCTGAATTGATGCTTCAACTGTTGAGGTGTTTTTCATTATTGAATGTTTAATTGGAAAAATGCTACATCTAAGCTGTTTTAAAGCTCGGCTGATAACGTTTCTAATCTTACACATTGAAGAGCTTAGCTTTATTGCTGTAATTGTAGAATGGCTGTTGATGCCACTGTGTACAGCTGTGATATGGAGGTAAAGCCAAGTTTGTCTTATGCTAAAGAAGAGTGGACACATTGCATGTTACAGAAACACATTATGGTATGGGTGGTGTATTACAAGTTAGGGATATTTCTTTGTAGAGAGATACCTGAATATAACAAAACAAATCACATTGGGACAGTTGTATATAAAGATTCTCTAATCACATATTTACATTTTTTTTTTGTCATGTGCTTTTTGTTTACCCCTATGAAGTCATGCAGTATTCTGTTGGGGTTACCTCACCGTACAAGAACACTTAATGACTTGATGCAATTGTTACAAAATATATTTTCTGCATATTGGAAGTTTATAACATTTTTAAAGTGTAATTCTTAGTATGTGAAGTAAATTGCTGAAAACAAAAATATTCTTCTCAAATTGTTGGCCATTATCTCACCTCACAAAATTCAGTTTATAATTAAAATAGAGGAACTAGGAACATTTGTTGGCAGTACACATTTAGATGTCTCACGCTAACTTAATATTCATCCAATTTCCTGATTTTTATAGTGACTTGGCAACAGCAGCTACAAAACTTGTCTCATATTGAGTGTATGAACTTTCAAGTGTACAGATTGCAAAATTTAAAAAGGATTAGTTTCCTTTTTATACAAGTCTTTGGCCTACTTCGACTGATGAAAAGGACAAAATATAGCAATAAAGGTATGGAAGTCGGTTCCAAGGATTAGTTAGGAAGTAAAAGTAGGGTGTAGGCATGACTGATTGTACAGATGTGTATCATATCTATGGGAAATGGTACTAATTATGTTCCATTTCTCTATTTCATTGCTAGCATTTTTTAAAAAAAATTGTTTATTTAAAATTGTGGGGGAAATGATTGATAATAAAACAAAAATGTGATGCTGATCTTTTTCAAATTATCTTTGTTTTTTTTTCCTTTCCTATACTTGTTGATTTCAATGAAAGACCATTTGTTCAGCTGAAAGAAAATGTACAAGCTTGTGAATAAATAACAATCTTTACATTACATCATTGGTTGCTTGTTACACAGAATGGCTTTTAATTATTTTACTTTTTAATATAATCCCAGACCACTTGTCAAAGCTCAGTATGTAGATCTGTTCACTGACTAGCATCACCTTTTGTTCCATTACTGGTGTTCTTGGGCCAATGGATTTAATACATGTTTAAATGTAGGAAAAGAAGAGCTTAAAAAATCATTAAACAGCTTTGGCAGGCACTCACTGTCTGCAGGGAATGACTGCCAAAGCTGTACACCTTTACTAAACAGCCAGTTACATTTTTAGTGAACAGGTTAATCTGCTTATGTCATTATTTTCAATGCTTCCTATGCATTTTGTTAAATACTAACAGATAAACTTTTATAAATCTTTTGAAAGCACAGTGCACATAAAATATAGTTTCAGCCAATGCTGATGCTCCGTATAGGGTATGTTGATTTCTACATACATTTGTGTTACCAGGGACATATTGGGGCCAACCGCAATTAGATGTCTTGAATTAAAATGCAAAGACATCACAGCCCAAAAAATTAAAGTATAAAAAAAATAAGACTAAATGTACAGCCCACGTGCCTAGGGTGACTGTTAGGATAACAAAAAGTAAAATAGTTGTGTAATCTATAATCTCTAGAACCCTGTCAAGTTTTGAAACTAACAGTAATTCTATAAGGATCGCATTTAAAATGCAATACATGAAAAATGTATTAGATGTTTTCTTGATGGGAGGATATACTGTTAGACAATAGTAAAATCAAACATACGATTTCTGTGAAATTTGATTATTTTTTGGACACTTTCTTGAGTTAAATGCCTTGGCATTAGTTTAAACAGGTTCTTTTATAAGGACCTTTTTTTCAGTTTTGGCACAAATGACAATACAAAAACCAAAACTCTGTGAGGGGAGTCCTTTATTGTCCCAGTTAAATTATTATTGAATAACATTTGGTGTTTAGACAATACAACTTGCAATATTTCACAACATGCACATAAACTGTTTCATGGTTTTATAATGCCACTGTACTTCCAATATAAAGACAATAATGGAAAAAAAAAACAAGGACACCAACTGCATACGTTGGTGTTTCTACCCAACATTTTTATCATTAAATGTTGGGAGGATTAGTCATCACAGCTTCAATATTTTTTTTTTTTACAAACAAAAAGAAAATATCTAGATTAAAAAAAAAATTGCATGGATTCATCCAGTGCTTTTTAAGCAAATACAAAATTTTTTTTCGGAATGCAAAAAAAAAGTGCCGGAATGCAAAATTTAAAAAATATTCTGGAGAAATGATGACATTTCTGGTGAGCAATTACCAAAATGACCAATTTAATTAAGCAACTGCAGGAATATTAACGTGTTTATTAGCATGGATGTTATTTGTACCTGACTGCGGTGCTGTATTGACAAGGACAAAAAAAGCACTGGATTGATCAAACAACACCTCTAGACTACCACTGTGTCTCTGGGGAAGATTGACTGTGTTCTCTCCCCTGATTCAGCTACCATACAAACTAAACACTAACACTGTGCTAACTAAACAATTGAAGCAGGCTACAAGAAACAAAGTTATCATTAATCATACCAACTTGTTTTGTTAGGATTAAAAAACTTGCCATTTTCAATCAATGAAAATAATTTAATGTAAGTTTTTAATTAATGAAATTCATGACAAAGGTTACCCTTTATAAAACTGCAGTCCATCTCAATGCTTCCTTTTAAGGCAATGGAGTTTTTCTTTTTCTTTGTTTGTATAATGCTTCAATGCCTTTCATGTAGTATGTGTTATTAAAAAAAAGAATTAATAAAATCATAGTACTGAAGCAGTTTCAAAAGACAAATCAAACTGAAAAAATATGCCACAAGTTACACACTCAAGTCAAAGTTGCAAACAAAATCAACACACTTCAGCATAAAATAAATCTTAGAGGCGATGACATTAGACTACAAATGAATATTGCTAGCAAGTTTATAATAAATGCCATCTAATAAAGTTATTACTATTTCAAACAAAGTGTGTGTGTGTGTGTGAATATATACATATATATATATACATATATATATATATATATGTATATATGTATGTATGTGTGTGTGTGTGTATGTATGTAAACACAAAAAAAAAATGAAGCAAATCGGTTTTAAAAAGCTAAAAAACTTTTGTCGATTAAGTAGAATAAGTAAAGTAAAAATAATTTCACTTCTAGAACAGTAGAATGTAGAGGTTTTGAGTTGGTCAATGAGGTCAGGTCTGCTGTCTTTACTTAGTTATTTGATAATATCAACTTCATGTTGGCTACAATTTAAAATGTGCTGAACACTAAAGTGTAATAAAATAAAGAATTATTGAGAAATATTTTGACAAAGTTGAAAAAACAGACCAAAAGCATGAATTAGATTATTGTAAAACATAAAAATGGCAGTGAAAAAAAAATTATAAAAGCAGAGGTATAGAAATCTTTCATAAAGAAAAACAGAGAAACCTTTACTTAATCATTTTGAAAGATTAAAATACAATTAATTTGTTTTTAATTCAGGATTTAAAAATACTTTATTAAATATAAGTCTCAGTCATGTAAAGATTAAAAAAAAATTTTTGGTTGTGAAAGACTATAAGAGACATGAAAATAAAAAACACATGTAAGCATAATTAACAATGTCTTCATTTATCGAGACTAAAAAGTCATTAATTTCAAAAGGATGCTGTACAGTGAACTAAGGCTGAGATAGCTTGAAAAGAAGTTTGACAGTCCAAATATATTTTCCCCTCCCATAACTGAGGAGGGTAGCATTCTAGTCGATCACTTAAAATTTCTAAGCTATCATTTTACAAATAACACAGGGGTCTGCAAGTACAAAAAGTGTAACAACTTTTATACTATGAGTGTGCTGGTGTCTAATCTAACATACAGCTCAATGATGTACACTGAGGGTGGCTGAGCTGGTAATCTGCTGGGCCCGTTGGTACTTGAAACCTGACAGACAACTGGAGGAGTTAAAAAATTGGGAGTGCATGCCCTTTCTCACCACCTGCAAAAGGGGAAACAAATCTATATCATGGAGTCTGTTTAGTGAGATAATAGAAACCAATTGAATACACATCGTTTTGTACAAATATAGTAAACAAAATTAATATTTGAGGTCTTGTCATTAATTCTATAACGCCAAAGTTTATTCTACAATACAAATACTTGCTACAAAGCTATTTGAGGTGTTAAGTTTAATGTGAGGTTTGAACATTTTTTACAAGCCAATTGTTCCCTAACCATCCTACCACCATTATTATTAATGAAACAATTGTTAAAAATTTTTTGGTGTACCAACTGTTTCAATGTTGTTATTTTAGTTATATTTTGTATTAAATGCTTGTAACACGCATTAATATTTTTAAACTCTAGAAACACTTTATTTAAATTATATTTTAAATTAACGCTGATCTTAATTTGATTCTATATTATACTAGTTACTAATCCTGTGTTCACTTTATTTGAGAACATGGCTTACCCAATATGATGTCATTACCTAAACATAGTCATCTATGTGTGGTCCTTTACCTAAACCTGTGCCAAGAAAATAAGAGCATCATTTCTTTGATCCCCAAACCCCCCCCCCCCCCCCCCATTTAGATGCTGATAACACCCCACATGACACCAAACAGCAGAGGTGTCAAACATTATTTAAATAGACAGGCAGCTACAAAATTAATCTACACAAAAAATATTCTGTAACAACTGCAATTGTATTGAACTACATACTTAACTTGATAGCAAATAATTAAAAATCTTCCAGAACTTTTAAAGAAAAATAGTAAAGCTTTTGAAGTATCACAGTTAATCATTAATGATATGGTACAAGATAAAAACATAAAATACTTTCAAGGAATAATTTATAACTTATTCTGGTTCAGATACAGGAGTAAAGAATTTGAGGGGGCCGATACAACCAACTATGCTTTCATGATGACCACATTATTACTAAATGTACCATTAAAAAAATTCACTTTTTAGATTCTTTGAAAAATCTGGCCACAACTAAAATTAATTTTGCCAGAATCAAATTCTATTGGCCTTTGGAAGTGGAGATTAGAAGGGAGAGTAGAACAATTTCCTGGATTAGAAAACATGGATTTCAGATCTTTTTCATTACAAATGACATTTTCTTGTTACTCTATTAAATAACCTGACTTTTGAATTTCTGTATATTCAAAAAAATTTTTTAAGGAAAAAATAATTGTTTTTTTTAACAAAAGGTCAAATATATTTTTTAAAAAGAAAAAGGCCTAAAACAATAATTATCTTCATTTTTTCAAAAAATACATTATTATTCAGGATGGCCTGGGTGGGGCATACTGTTTTGATAAAATAAATAAATAAACATTATATCATTTAGCATAATAAGCACTGAGACACTTAGTAAAGCCATTACAGAAAAAAATTGTGATATATACAAAGTTCTGTATGGTACAAGCAACTGATCATTGGATAGGTTATTCTAATTACCATGACAAATACAGAAAACATGAAAGCAATTTCAAAGCAATTTGTGTAAGGATAATAAAAAAAGTGAGTCGAAAATAACAATGGGCTTTGCTCAATTGTTGTCTTGAAAGCTCTCACGATTCAAACCTTATTTTGCAGGAAATTAAAGTTAGCTATTTCAAAAATTTTACAGGTTTATTCGGTTTACAAAAATTGAGACGCAATGTTAAAAAAATAATTTTCAACTCTCAATTTTCATTACATAAGTTCTTCCATCAGAGTAAACTTCTACATTTTGTAATCAGAAGATAAAAAAAAAATTATTTCTTCCATGTCAACAAGGTAAAAAGATAAATGCCATGTAAATTGAGCAACACCCATTTTAAGGTCATGAACTAAAAATATTTTCAATTTAAAGAAAATAAACACATAATTTAAAAATAGGTGAACTTTTAATCCTGTATCAAAATCATATCAAAATTACTAAAAGAAACAAGAAATTATTAAAAGAATAAAACTCAAAGTTATGACTAAACAATAATATGACTAAGAGCAGAACAATAGCTAAAAGAAATTAAAATGAAAAATAAAGACTAATAATCAAATATGTACAGTTACAAATGAAAAAAATAAATCTATGCAAATAGTGTAAGTAAAATACAGTGTGCTCTGACAGACAACATCAATTCTACAATAGGTTCTGACAACATCAAATTTACAGTGTTTTTGATAGCACACCATCTCCGTGGTCCAGCCCCTTGGCCCCCCTGCAGATACACCTGAGCTCGTCAACAAGCGTGTCGTAGCGGTAGGCCACGCGGATGTCTGGCACGTTGGTACGGCTGACATCATTGCCAGATATACCTTCACTCAGGTAGTTGGGACCCAGCCAGTGCTTCTTCACCTGAGGGTTTGGTAAACAGTGTTAAATGAATTCTTCATTACTAAGTTGTCAAACATATACTTAACCACTAATTAGTCAAACATGTACTAAATTAATAATTAGTGCCACTTAATAACAAATAACAATGATAATATCATTTTGTATTTAGAAAAAAACTAAAGGTAGCCTTAAAAAAGCAGTCAGATAGCATTAACATCTATTAGGTAGCCTTAACATACTAGGTAGCCCTAAAATATCAATCATTTAGCCCTAACTTATCTGTAAATTAGCCCTTACCTATCTACCAGATAGCCCTAACATATCTAACATTTAGCCCTAACTTATCTGTAAATTAGCCCTAACCTATCTATTAGCTAACCCTAACATATCAAATTAGGTAGCCATAAACTATCTGTCATGTAGCCAGTAGATTTGTGAGTGAGTATCTAACCTCATGGGGGGGGGGGGCCCTCTGAAGGACTCTATTGCCAGCTACTAACCTCTTGGGGGGTGGGGGCCCTCTGAAGAACACTAGAGCTACTAACCTCATGGGGAAAGCCACTCTGAAGGACACTATTGTGAGCTACTAACCTCATGGGGAAAGCCACTCTGAAGGACACTATTGTGAGCTACTAACCTCATGGGGAAAGCCACTCTGAAGGACACTATTGTGAGCTACTAACCTCATGGGGAAAGCCACTCTGAAGGACACTATTGTGAGCTACTAAGCTCATGGGGGGGGGGCCCTCTGAAGGACACTAGAGCTACTAACCTCATGGGGAAAGCCACTCTGAAGGACACTAGAGCTACTAACCTCATGGGGGAAGCCACTCTGAAGGACACTATTGCGAGCTATCTCACACATATCACAGGTAGAAAACTTCCAGACTTGTGCTGCAATGCTGTACTCTTCCATCAGAGGTTCCTGAAAGACAAGAGCACACAACTCTTGGACTGTGTTACACAAACAACACACAGTGACTACACTGCTCAGTTTTGGCTTGGTAATTATACATAACTTTTTACTCTAACTTTAGGATAGCTAAACTGGTTCTCATGTCGAATATCTAAGCGTCGTCTGCATGAAGTAGAGTTAATTTTCTGTGATCAAGCTAGAAAAAGTGGTTGAGTGTAGATGAAGTAGTTAATCTTCTGTGATCAAGCTAGAAAAAGTGGTTGAATGTTGATAAAGAAGAGTTTATCTTCTGTGGTCATCCAGAATGGAGTCTAGTAACTGACTAAGCAACAGGTGCTCTTACAGACTGACCCAATCACCCCCACTGACCTTTGTGAAGTGGAACTGCAAAGGATCATCTGTTGACAAAGACACATTGAGTCCCCTGTTGAGGTACTCTGGCAGAGGGTTCCTGTGGTAGTTGAGGAACAGGGAGTTGTTGCTGAGTGGGGACATGGCGATGCCAATCTGGGACAGGTAGAACAGGTACTGCAGCACTGGCACCTGGGTGGGGGAGGGAGATATGATTTGGTTTCAAAAACATAAGCTTGGGATTCAGAGATGCACATACAACATGACCACACCCATAGACAACATGAACACACCTACATAGAACATGACCACACCCACGTACAACATGACCACACCCACATAGAACATGAGCACACCCACATAGAACATGAGCACACCCACATAGAACATGACCACACCCACATAAAACATGACCACACCCATATAGAACATGACCACACCACATAGAACATGACCACACCCACATAAAACATGACCACACCCACATAGAACATGACCACACCCACGTAGAAAATGACCACACCCACATAGAACATGACCACACCCACATAGAACATGACAACACAAACACATAACATGACCACACCCAAATAAAACATGACTACACCCAGAAAGAAACCAACCTTCCTAAGCACCAGCCCATGAGCAATGCTCTCAGCCAACATGAAGCCAGACACCAGATGGGTGACATTGCCAGCCTCGCCACAGTGGGGCCTGAGTACAAACTCACACAGCCCTCTCTCCCTGTAGAGGCAAGGTGCTACATTAGTACACAGACATTACACAAACCTCTCTCCCTGGAGAGGCAAAGGGGTACATTAGTACACAAACATGTACACAAACTCACACAACCCTCTCTCTCTCTGTAGAGGCAAGGGGGTACATTAGTACACAAACATGTACACAAACTCACACAACCCTCTCTCTCTGTAGAGGCAAGGTGCTACATTAGTACACAAACATGTACACAATCTCACACAACCCTCGCTCTCTGTAGAGGCAAGGTGGTACATTAGTACACAAACATGTACACAAACATGTACACAAACTCACACAACCCTCTCTCTCTCTCTCTGTAGTCAAGTTGTTACATTAGTACACAAACATGTACACAAACTCACACAACCCTCTCTCTCTCTCTGTAGTCAAGTTGTTACATTAGTACACAAACATGTACAAAAACTCACACAACCCTCTCTCTCTCTCTGTAGTCAAGTTGTTACATTAGTACACAAACATGTACACAAACTCACACAACCATCTCTCTATATAGAGGCAAGGTGCTACATTAGTACACTAACATGTACACAAACTCACACAACCCTCTCTCTCTTTAGAGGCAAGGTGCTACATTAGTACACAAACATGTACACAAACTCACACAACCCTCTCTCTCTGCAGAGGCAAGGTGGTACATTAGTCTAGTTCATGTACACAAACATGTACATAAACTCACACAACCCTCTCTCTCTGTAGAGGCAAGGTGCTACATTAGTCTAGTTCATGTACACAATCTCACACAAACCTCTCTCCCTGCCGAGGCAAGGTGCTATATCAGTCAAATTCATGTATACTGTATCCATCCTGTACACAATCTGACCCACCTTCTGAAGTTGTTTAGCACCACCATGTTTGCGTACATGTAATACAAGTAGTAACTGTAGGGAGGGTTCTCAGGGAGTGACCAGTTCTCAGGTGTAGGGGAGTCTTTATCCAACATCAGATGCTCAGACTTAGATTCATCATCCACAGAGTCAAACCCAGAGATCTGAAGTAGAGGACACCATGGTCAGTTCACACACAGGGCACCATGGGAGAGGATTCAAGTCAGTTCACACACAGGACACCATGGTAGAGGATTCAAGTCAGTTCACACACAGGACACCATGGTAGAGGATTCAAGTCAGTTCACATAGAGTACACCATGGTAGAGGATTCAAGTCAGTTCACATAGAGTACACCATGGTAGAGGATTCAAGTCAGTTCACAGAAAATATTAAATGACATTAAATGATTTCTTACTACCACAAGTATAGCATACAAACTTATTCAAATTTATAATCAAACTAGGTACGGTTTTACAAGATCATTTTGAAATGGCTGTTATTTTTATCCAATCTAACATTTAAAAACTTCAGTTTTAAAACATGAAAATACCAAAAGCAGTTGCAGTCATCAAATGACCAGTAAGGACAAACCTATGACTAGCTGACCAGTAAGGACAAACCTATGACTAGCTGACCAGTAAGGACAAACCTATGGCTAGCTGACCAGTAAGGACAAACCTATGACTAGCTGACCAGTAAGGACAAACCTATGACTAGCTGACCAGTAAGGACAAACCTATGACTAGCTGACCAGTAAGGACAAACCTATGACTAGCTGACCAGTAAGGACAAACCTATGACTAGCTGACCAGTAAGGACAAACCTATGACTAGCTGACCAGTAAGGACAAACCTATGGCTAGCTGACCAGTAAGGACAAACCTATGACTAGCTGACCAGTAAGGACAAACCTATGACTGACCAGTAAGGACAAACCTATGACTAGCTGACCTTAAGGACAAACCTATGACTGACCAGTAAGGACAAACCTATGGCTAGCTGACCTTAAGGACAAACCTATGGCTAGCTGACCAGTAAGGACAAACCTATGACTAGCTGACCAGTAAGGCCAAACCTATGACTAGCTGACCAGTAAGGACAAACCTATGGCTAGCTGACCAGTAAGGACAAACCTATGACTAGCTGACCAGTAAGGACAAACCTATGACTAGCTGACCAGTCAGGACAAACCTATGACTAGCTGACCAGTAAGGACAAACCTATGACTAGCTGACCTTAAGGACAAACCTATGACTAGCTGACCTTAAGGACAAACCTATGACTAGCTGACCAGTAAGGACAAACCTATGACTAGCTGACCAGTAAGGACAAACCTATGACTAGCTGACCAGTAAGGACAAACCTATGACTAGCTGACCAGTAAGGACAAACCTATGGCTAGCTGACCTTAAGGACAAACCTATGGCTAGCTGACCAGTAAGGACAAACCTATGGCTAGCTGACCAGTAAGGACAAACCTATGGCTAGCTGACCAGTAAGGACAAACCTATGAATAGCTGACCAGTAAGGACAAACCTATGACTAGCTGACCAGTAAGGACAAACCTATGACTAGCTGACCAGTAAGGACAAACCTATGACTAGCTGACCAGTAAGGCCAAACCTATGGCTAGCTGACCAGTAAGGACAAACCTATGGCTAGCTGACCAGTAAGGACAAACCTATGACTAGCTGACCAGTAAGGCCAAACCTATGAATAGCTGACCAGTAAGGACAAACCTATGACTGACCAGTAAGGACAAACCTATGACTGACCAGTAAGGACAAACCTATGACTAGCTGACCAGTAAGGACAAACCTATGACTAGCTGACCAGTAAGGACAAACCTATGACTAGCTGACCAGTAAGGACAAACCTATGACTAGCTGACCAGTAAGGACAAACCTATGACTAGCTGACCAGTAAGGCCAAACCTATGGCTAGCTGACCAGTAAGGACAAACCTATGGCTAGCTGACCAGTAAGGACAAACCTATGACTAGCTGACCAGTAAGGACAAACCTATGACTAGCTGACCAGTAAGGACAAACCTATGACTAGCTGACCAGTAAGGACAAACCTATGACTAGCTGACCTTAAAGACAAACCTATGACTAGCTGACCAGTAAGGACAAACCTATGGCTAGCTGACCAGTAAGGACAAACCTATGACTAGCTGACCAGTAAGGACAAACCTATGGCTAGCTGACCAGTAAGGACAAACCTATGACTAGCTGACCAGTAAGGACAAACCTATGACTAGCTGACCTTAAAGACAAACCTATGACTAGCTGACCTTAAGGACAAACCTATGATTAGCTGACCTTAAGGACAAACCTATGACTAGCTGACCAGTAAGGACAAACCTATGACTAGCTGACCTTAAGGACAAACCTATGACTAGCTGACCAGTAAGGACAAACCTATGACTAGCTGACCAGTAAGGACAAACCTATGACTAGCTGACCTTAAAGACAAACCTATGACTAGCTGACCTTAAGGACAAACCTATGGCTAGCTGACCAGTAAGGACAAACCTATGACTGACCAGTAAGGACAAACCTATGACTAGCTGACCAGTCAGGACAAACCTATGATTAGCTGACCTTAAGGACAAACCTATGGCTAGCTGACCAGTAAGGACAAACCTATGACTGACCAGTAAGGACAAACCTATGACTAGCTGACCTTAAAGACAAACCTATGACTAGCTGACCTTAAAGACAAACCTATGACTAGCTGACCAGTAAGGACAAACCTATGACTGACCAGTAAGGACAAACCTATGACTAGCTGACCTTAAGGACAAACCTATGACTAGCTGACCTTAAGGACAAACCTATGACTAGCTGACCTTAAGGACAAACCTATGACTAGCTGACCAGTAAGGACAAACCTATGGCTAGCTGACCAGTAAGGACAAACCTATGACTAGCTGACCAGTAAGGACAAACCTATGACTAGCTGACCAGTAAGGACAAACCTATGACTAGCTGACCAGTAAGGACAAACCTATGGCTAGCTGACCTTAAGGACAAACCTATGGCTAGCTGACCAGTAAGGACAAACCTATGGCTAGCTGACCAGTAAGGACAAACCTATGGCTAGCTGACCAGTAAGGACAAACCTATGAATAGCTGACCAGTAAGGACAAACCTATGAATAGCTGACCAGTAAGGACAAACCTATGGCTAGCTGACCAGTAAGGACAAACCTATGACTAGCTGACCTTAAGGACAAACCTATGACTAGCTGACCTTAAGGACAAACCTATGATTAGCTGACCAGTAAGGACAAACCTATGGCTAGCTGACCAGTAAGGACAAACCTATGAATAGCTGACCAGTAAGGACAAACCTATGGCTAGCTGACCAGTAAGGACAAACCTATGACTAGCTGACCAGTAAGGACAAACCTATGACTAGCTGACCTTAAGGACAAACCTATGACTAGCTGACCTTAAGGACAAACCTATGACTAGCTGACCTTAAGGACAAACCTATGATTAGCTGACCAATGAGACTAAAAACTGGCAAGCTGACCATTAAATACAAGTACTGTCTATGTAATACTTACATACTGTAATGTTGTGTAAAGGACAAAATACAATGAAACACTAGGCAATACTTACATGGTTGAGGAAAGCATGGAGCTCAGGGTGGGAGCTGGGGTCATTGGTCACCTCAAACAGAGGCTGGAAGACATTGGTCAGGAAGTGCTGGAAGGTGGGGCAAGATTTGTTGGCGTGGTACACATCACTGGATGGGGGATATAAGAAACATCACATCAATGGACAGGGAATATAAGAAACATCACATCAATGGACAGGGAATATAAGAAACATCACATCAATGGACAGGGAATGTAAGAAACATCACATAACTGGAAGGTAATATAAGAAAAATGGTACACATCACTAATCAGGGAAAATAAATATGGGGCACATTTAAAAACATACACTCAAATACAGCATCAACAGATTTATATTTCAGTACATACTGAGGAACTCTATATGTTCCATGAATTTATGTGTGAGCACTCACTAAAGCCGTGGGATCTGGATCATCCAGCGCACGTTGTCGGAGGACATTTTGTGTGTGATGGCCCACTTGGCCAACTTGTCCCACTCATCAATGGAGCGGCCGTAGATGGACAAGCGGTACTCAGCGTTCTGGTACTTGCTCTCTTCCAGATCTTCCATCACTTCCTGCAAGTGGACATTCAAAATGGTGGACATTCAAAATGGTGGACATTCAAAATGGTGGACATTCAATCGTTAGATCAGAGAAGTAACCTTAAGTCTAACTTTTCTTCTTCATTCTTAATTTTAGTGTTGGAATTAAGTATTACGTGTCAACTTGTTATGTGCCATAAAGGCCATTGACTCCGATTTCAGCCTGCTTTTCTTTTTGAATTTGCTTCCATAGCCTTTGCCTAAGCAAGAACAAACAACAAGGAAGCAGTTGTTTGATTTTTGGGTTCTACCTCTTAGATGAGTGTCTGTCCCCATTTATCGCGCCTCATCTCATCTGCCCTGGGGGTTCGAACTCGGGACTTAATTAACCAGACCATGCCCACCTCTAATCTAACACTAATGAGCAGGCATGGTCAATTACTGGCGTACAGAACCACTAATAACAAAAAGAGTTTATTTCCTAGACTTGAGTCTATAGGACATACGAGTCAACCCATCATTAATTGGTACCTGGATGACTTTATGTCTGTAACGTAAGGTTAAACTTAACTACATCTTTGGTTTCACTTTACCTAACTTGCATATTTTTCTATTGATTAAATAGGCTCATAACAAGTGAAATTAAAATTTTTTTTTTACCAAACAAACATGGCTGAAGTTTTGATTTCAAACAACAACCTGCCCACTGTGTGTGTTTTTTTAATGTTTTATTTCTTTTCAGTTGTACACAGACTTCATTTTTTAAAATACATCAATCATATAATTGATGCTTTCAAAATTAATTTTAGTTTTAAGCACTGGAAAAATTTGGCATAACAGTACTTTTTTTTCAGTTGAACAAACATTTTCTGTACATTTATGAGGAACACTACTGTCATTCCTATTGTGCTAGAAAAGTAGCAAAGAAAAGAAAAAAAGTTTGAGAGTACCTTGATAACTTTGGCAAAGAAAAGAAAAAGTTTGAGTGTACCTTGATAACTTTGGCAAAGTAAAGAAAAATTTTGGCTGTACCTTGATAACTTTGGCAAAGTAAAGAAAAAGTTTGATTGTACCTTGATAACTTTGGCAAAGAAAAGAAAAAGTCTGATTGTACCTTGATAACTTTGGCAAAGAAAAGAAAAAGTCTGATTGTACCTTGATAACTTTGGCAAAGTACAGGCCACCAATGTGGTTGTCTGTTTTCATGAAGACTTCCCTCAGACGACTCTCACCAACTGGGTTGTATTTGGCATTGAATTTGTCAAAACGGTGGAAGGTGTTGCGATCCTGGGCACATTGGAATCAATGACATTTTGATAATGGTCCTACACGTATTTACTTATTGAAACCACATAATTATATTAGGTTTGATTAAAGTTTTAAGAAGATTTTTCTAAAATAAAAGTTTTAAAATGATTTTTCTAAAATAAAAGCTTTAAAAAGATTTTTCTAAAATAAAAGTTTTAAAAAGGTTTTGTATTTAAAATTTTTAAAAAGATTTTCTCTAATAAGATCATTTAAAAAAAAATGAGATCACAGATAAAAAGATATTAAAAAGTGTTTTCAAGTACATATAAAGTGAACTTACTGCGTGGACATCTAACATATCAACACTGAGATCATATGGGGTGAGGTTCATTGACTTGAAGACCTACAGACAGAAGGTCCTCATTTTAATACAAACATATTAAACATCAGTGGCAAGATAGTAATGTTTACTAAAAATATTAACATACTGTAATGTTTTGTAAAGGACAAAATACAATGAAACACTATTTCATTAATGTACGAAATTTTTAAAGAAATAATTTCCTTCTCTCACAATGTTAAATAAATAATACTTCAACATCTTTTAATGTTGTTTGCTTTCGATAAGCTTTTAAATGAAATACGTAAGTCAAGCTAATTTTAAAGTAAAAGAAGAAAAGTGGCTGTATATACACCCAGATTAATTGAAAGTAAATTGTAAAAATAAAAACTATTTGGAACTTATTATTTGTGTGAAATAACTACCTGTGACTTTAATGAGAGTGATCTCTCCTGAATGCTGTGGTAAGTACACACAAGTTAATTTTTTAAAAGAAATTTTTAAAAATCTTGCCACAAATAACAAAATCTTAAAAAACTTGTATACAATCTGTGTTTAAAAATTGCCTGCTCAAGTTACATTAGAATCTAAAGTATTTACCTCTAGACATGGCTAAAAAAAAACAACAAACAGTTAAATGAGAATGAACATCATTGAAAGACCAGTATTAGTTAGAATTGTCTAAATTCATAGATAAGAAAACCTGAGCTCATAGCATCATCAATCAGACATTTTCAACTGATCCAGTTAAAAACATGGAACAAAAATTGTTAATGAATCAAAAGATAATCCTACAGTGACTCCAGCAAATTTCTTATCACTGGAGTTAGCTATAAAAGGGGAACAACTCTCAACTAGTCTCATAGATGGGGGACAAATGTGAAATAAAACTATGAGACTTGCCTTCAGATACTGCTGAGTTTCATCCACAAGCTGTTGAGATATTAAAACAAATTTAGAGCCAAACCTCTAGGAAGCTCATGTATCAATCAATGCATGCCACTAGGAAAGGTACTACACAAAGTGGAATTTAAACTCTTCAGCACAGGAAGATTTCAGAAGGTGAACTCAAAAAGTTTATTTTTATTTTTTTAGAAAAGTAGATCGAGTAACAAAAAAAGGGGGGAAACAAAATAATTTTAGAAGCAAAATAAAAATTATTTAAAAATTTAAAAAATTAGCTGTTGAATGCTCAAAAACCCGGCAGCTTAAAAGCAAGCTTGTCAATCTTTTAGATTAGAAGAAAACAAATAGTTAGTTGAAAGAATATTCAATGGGATACAGAAAGCAGTACTACATGTATTAATGAAGCCAAATGTTGCCAGACTACACCAAACTAAAAACCAGCAAAAAAATTTTCAGAATAGAGCTGTATCAAAATGTTACAATTTGTTATGTTGTGATATGTATATCTGACAAAAAAACTCATCTATAAGGCAGGTCAACGTTTAAACACAGATAAAAAAAAATAAAGTCAGTAAACAATGTAAAAACCTGAGCCAGCGTCATGCTCTGTCCATCTTTGTTCTTGCAGACGACATCGTCTTTACAATCTTTCATCGTCTTCTTGATGAACCGCAGCAGGTGTTTCTGGTTCATTCCAGAAGACGCATGAACATGGGTGTCCACCTGATAGATCAACACAGGGGGGCATTAATGATATAATCCAAGCAACCAACAGCATAAAAATTATATCATCATTGAACAACTTGTATCATAATTATTGTTAAAGATTATATAATCATTGAACAACTGGAATCTTAACTGTCGTAAAAGATTATATAATAATTGAACAATTGGTATCATAATAATCATTGAACAACCGGTGGTAAGATCCATACAATTAAAAACATAAAAATAATAGAATAGAATAAAGGTAATAAAAATGTAAAGATTGAAAAATCAAACACATTTTTTAGACCATGACAATATAGAGATGCAATTTTTTTTAAATGCATGAGGTCTAAGGGGACAAAAAATGTAAAGTATGAGAATAAAGGGTATGGGAAGATCTCAAATTACAAGACTAGTTCTGAGACCTTGTGCACATTGTAGAAGTCCCGATGTGGAACCTCCTTCTGGGCAGCAGACTCCTTGAGTTCATTGAGCAGGACGTGCAGCTGGTACTTGTTGGACAAGTAGCTCAGTCTACGGTAACAAAATGATTTCCTGAAACAGAGGAGTGGATCAATTATCAACCAGCATAGCTTACAATAACAAAATGATTTCCTGAAACAAGAGAGTGGATCTATTATCAACCAGCATAGCTTACAATAACGAAATTATTTCTAGAAACAAGAGAGTGACAAAATGAACTCCATGATAGTCTGCTCTTTATTTATTTACTGTGACAAAATATTTTTAACGCAAGACGATTTTTTTCATAAATGTAACAAAAAAATTTTGTGCAATATTTTCATAAATAAATATTAAATAGCATGAGTACGGAAGTACGCCTATGATGATAGAAACCAGAATTAACAGCAAGATAATTTAACCTTTTCTCTTAAATTTTTCTCAAATATTCAGTTTGCACTTACAAAGGGCCATCACTGATCATGGCAAACATGATGTTCTGGTCCTTGATGAACTCCTCTAGGTTGGGGCACGGCCAGTCAAACGGTTTGTTCTCCTTAGCGGCCTCCTCGCTGGGGAACACGCACATGACTCCCCTCTCAAACTTCATGCAGTAGTTGGCCGAGGGGATGAACTCAACTTTAAACGGGTCTCCGCAGGTTGGGGGTGCATGGATGGGGTGGTCTGACAAGAGGGGGAACACAGAGAAAATTGATTAATAAGTAGTTAAACTTGAGACATATGCAGTATCAAAAATTTATTCTTCTATTAAGTATTTAATTATCAATTTGTAGGTCTAAACTTTATATAGAAAAATCGAACCAACTCTCTAAACATAAACTTTAAAAAAGAATTTTAAAATTCTGGCTGATCAAAAGCATAGTACAGTAATTGAACTAATTTTTAAAAAAGCATTAATTAATTTGCTTATATTAGCTTTTGAGAATAAATACAATTTATACAATGAAAATAAAAAACAGAAAACACAGCACACAAGAAATTGTTTAACTCGTGGATATATACAAAATTTGGTGTCAAGTTATGGTCACACAGTAAGATTAAAATACTAAACTAAAAATTTAATAGGCAAAATACGTACCACAGTACACAAATAATAATCATTAAAAAAGTTTTTAAAAACCCACGTTTTCTGATTGAACTAAAAAGTAGAAAATAAATACTATACATCACAATAATGCAAGCGATCACTCTACTATAAGCGATGAAAAACGTGGGGCGCCGAAGTAAAAGTTATATTACTATTGATTAGATAATACTATTGACTTTTATTAGGGAGCTTGTAGAGAGTCAACAGTATTAGAAACTGTAAGAAAATCACGGCGCCCCACGTTTTTGATCGCTTATAGTAGAGTGATCGCTTGCATTATTGTGATGTATAGTATTTATTTTCTACTTTTTAGTTCAATCAGAAAACGTGGGTTTTTAAAAACTTTTTTAATGATTATTATTTTCTACTTTTTAGTCTTTGTCTGTTTGTTTGCATTAAAATCTTGCTATCGATTTTATCTTTTCACTTTTTTTTTGGGTAAACGAAGACAACTCGTAAAAAGACAACTCGTAAAAAGACAACTCGTAAAAAGACAACTCGTAAAAAGACAACTCGTAAAAAGACAACTCGTAAAAAACACGTTGTTTGAATACGTTACTGACTAGAACACATAGATTTGAACCCGTGTCGAGTGGGATAGCAATCGTGTGCCCAACCACTCGACCATATCGTCTCCCCCAAACTGGCCTACCTCCTGTAAGTTTAAACTCGGTTCAAGCTAAATTACCTGCCCCTAAGCCTGTGGCGACATGTGATCGTTCGCTTCACTGCGCGCGAGGTACGCGTCGCTGGTTTTTTTTCTAATGGCTAGCAGAGGAGAATTATATATATAGATTATATAGCGGTCTAAAATGCTCAATAAAATGTTTCCATTGATCAATTTAGTAATAATAACAATTGAATATTCAATGGTCATCCAAAAGAAAGCTTCCCTGAAAATTTCAGCGCGCTAGCTATCTGGGAAGTGCCAGAAATTTCGATCGCAAGATTTGATTGGAAAGACAAACAAACAGAGAAAGCAAGTTAAAGAAAACGTGGGAATAACGTTAGGTTGTAATGCATCAGTTTTTAAAAAGGCTAAGCAATGCAGGTGTTGATTTAAAACAAAACAGCAAACAACAAATAATAACTGAAGAATAATTTGCTTAAGAGAAGCTAACAAAATGAAAATTTAAAATAAGCAAAGGAGAAAATGGAATGCAATTTCAAAAACAAAACTGAATTCTTTCCCTTGCCTGATTTCTGCGCCACTTTGGCAACATAAATAAATTCAGGCTGGAAGGAGATGGACATTGCATCAGATGAGGAAGTGCTGCTGCCTACAAGAGACATCAGTGGCCTGATTTTACAGGGGTTTTCTGGTTCTACAACATATAGCCTACAACTTTTCAATGGTTGTTTACAACTTTTAAAATTATTTGTCCTGCACATACAATTGTTTCATTGTTTTTCTGTAAGTACAACTTTTTAATGGTTGTTCTATATGAACAAGTTTTTCAATAGTTGTTCTTTATGTACAATTATTTTAATGGTTGTTTTATAATGTACAACTTTTTCAACGGTTTGTTCTGCATGTTCAACTTTTTAATGATTGTTTTATATGTATCATTTTTTTTTCCTATATGAACAGCATTTTCTGTGGTTGTCCCATAATGCACCATTTTTTCATTGACTGTCCCACTTGTTTATTTATTCCCCCAATCCAATGAGATTGGTACCAAAAGAAATCATAAACAGATTTTTATTTCTTTTGTTTTCAAGGTCACTTTCTCTTGATAGTAGGGAAATAATTGTGTGGACTGCAAAAATCAAATCTCAATTTTAGTATTTCCATAAGCCTACTATAGTTTTTCAACCCCCCCCCCCCCTCCCCTTCCCCAAGCTCATATACCAGTTTGTAACAAAACCATAAACTACCCCCCCCCCCCCATGCTATCTTTATGCTACATACCTCATTCTATATTTTTCTCTCATATACAGCTACAACACTGGTTAGTTGAAATTAACAAGCAAATATACATTAGAAAACAAAGCTATTCAGGCTGTTGTATGTAAGGCAGTCACTCCAAGTATTATGAAGCAGGTGCTAGCAGGAGGGGGGGGATCAATTTATAAGGACAAAAAATATTATAGGGGGAGATGCACTGGAATCAGAGTTTAAAAAATCATGATTTTAGATAATCTTTCATTAATTTATTTTAATGTATGAGCTTTTTCTGTATTTAAACTGTAGTAACCTTCTTTAATTTATGCTGGAAAGAAGTTTCTAATGCATTTTGTAAGACCATATTGATTTTTTAAAAGTTTTTACATAGCCAAAAAATTTGCCCTAATCTTGATAATCTGGTACCATTAGGAAGCTGGGATTTTTCCAGTTTTAAAATACTAGAGGTTTATTCACTTTGAAAGACAAAATAATGTGCCCTAATCATGTACCATTAAAAAGCTGGGGAGTTTCCAGTTTTTAAATAGTACAGCTTTATTCACTTTGAAAAAAACCAATAGGTTACTAGAATTAGCAGGGTTCTGTCTTGCTATGCTTTCTCAGATTGAGATGAGAACATAGATCACATTTACATAACATGAGGTCAGAGACTTTTCATACTTGATCGTCATTTTAGAGTTAATTAATCAATACACTAAACTTAATAATTAAACTTCTTGAAATGCCTCTCTTGGACCCTGGAACTCTCTTAAACCAGGTTGCTCACAATAGGATGAAGAGTCAGGCATTCACCTAGCCTTGTTAGACCCATGGGGGGGGGGGGGGGGTGTAGATCTGTCAGGAAATGGCCCTTATAATTTAGAACCTGTGTATCTATCTAATGCCTCTAAGTCAGCAAACGTGTGTTCTATTGTTAGGCCATGCCATCCCATGGGGTGTACTAAAACAAGTTTTGAAGTTATCCAGGATAAAAATAATTTAATTCGAATTAAATCTTCAAGCTTTTCATGTTAAAAATTTGAGTCAGTAAATGCTTATATTTCATTCATAACAGAAATCAGATCACAATGTTTACATTTTTATGGACATGTTCTGTCAAAGATTTATTGAAACCATTTATTAGTTTCTATGACAAGAAAGCCATTCCACTTTTTTCTTGTTTTGTGTTTTTTTTAAAGCATAAGTCAGTGCTAAAATATAAAAAATAACTATTGCATGACTAATTTAGAATATCTTTAAGGTTTCTTAAGGTGCTATGCTAGTTAAAAAAAAAGCCGTAACACTTTTTATAGCTAAAAAACCTCATTTTGAACTCACCATTTTGGTATTCTATGAGGGAGGAAAGTATTTAAAATAAAATAGCCTATACATATGTTGTTAAAAAAATTTTTTTCGGACAATGTGGGGTTTCAAGTGGATCAACACTATAAAATATGAGAATACAAAATGCAGAATTGGTTAAGTTTTATTTTTCTAAGTGATTTTTTTTTAATAAACAAATTCTCTTGCAGGTGTTATACACTAAACTAAAGGGAGGCAGGGGGAGGGGGCAATCAACTCTATTTTTCAAACCTAGACTCATCTAGAATTTGGTACCTGCGTTTTTATATATGATACCCGAGTATTTATATCTGAATGGCACATCTTCTCCAGACAAGTCTACAACAATAAAAAACATCAATGGGTCATTTTGAAAACATCAATAAAATCATACCATCAACTTCTTGAAAACAATAAAATCTTCCATTCATTTATGAAATACTTCCAAAAAATTGCTCAAATTTTGAGTACACTAACACCTTTACTTTCTATTATAAGTTAATCAGTGGCAAATTTAGCTGTGTCCAAAATCTACATCTGCCATTAATATTAAATCATAAAATGTAAGTTCCTCTGACAAAATCTACATTTATCATTTGTATTAAATATTAATATTCCTCACAAAATCAAGCTGAAAATAATCAACTTTTTAAAATAGAGCGGGGAAAAAAATATTTTATATAATCCTTAACAATTTCAGTAATGCTTTAATGAGGTTATTTAATCAAATTACTTTTATTAAAATATTTATATATATATATATATATATATATATATATATATATATATATATATATATATATATATATATATATATATATATATATATATATATATATATATATATATATATATATATATATATATATATATATATATATATATATATATATATATATATATATATAAACTGTGAGAATATGATATATATTATGTTACTAAAAAAAAAATAACAGATTAAGTATGTGGAAAGGGTGGTAAAAAAGACTAGTGATTATCAATGTAATTAATTAAAAAAAAAATAACTATAAATAAATCTACAGCTTTGTAGTGCAACCATCTAATTATGGTCACAGCCCATATTTCTATCCAGTTGCCATTTATTTTTTGCTCTATTTCTGAAGAAGGCCTTAGGTTGAAGCATCTGTACTTGTATTAATTGTTCAAGACTATCAATTATGGTTTAGTGGTTTTAAAAACAAAACCTCGTCATAACAAATCACTGTTCAAGTTTCTCTGAGATGTTATTTATATTTTAGTTTGACAGTCAGTCTTGTCCTTGGTTCCATCAATAGCAGACACTGAACTGGTCTCATGCATCTTAACATAACCTGGTTCCATATTCTAATTACACAACACTCAACATAGAGGTACATAGAATGCTAATTAAGTGAGCATGCATTTGAACTGATTGTAAAAGTGAATCGTTAATCCATGTATGCATGTCAGCCAGACAAAAATAAGCACTGCCCAATGCCTAAACCAAAACTTGTTCAAGTTTCTTTTAAAAAAAATTAAATTAAAATAGATGCTATAGGTGATATTCAGTAGCAAGATTGATCACATATATAGGAGCTCTGAAGCAAAAATAATAAAAAAGTACACGGCTTTTTTCAAGTTTTAAGACATTGGTAAAGAAAAGAAAATGTTCTACAAAGGCTCATAACACAAAGGGAAAAACAAAAGGCTGAAACACAAAAAAGGACTGAAGGAAACACAACAATTAGACACAAAATAAAACAAGTATGTTTCAACATTTCCTAAGGACTACAAAAAAAGAAACAAAGTATAAAAAAAATACAACAACAATTAAATATATAGGAAGCATTAAAAGTGACATCTCCTAACTTTCTATGTATGTATCAAATATATATGGATCTAATGTGACAACTACCTACCTTCTATGTCTGTATGTATGGATCTAAAGTGACCTTGTATGTATCTAATATGACAACTACCTACCTTCTAATTCTGTATGTTGTATGGATCTAAATTAACAACTACCTACCTTCTATGTATGTCTGTGTGTATGTATGGATCTAATGTGACAATGTATGTATGGATATGACAAGTACCTACCTTCAAGACTTGTTGCCTTGACAAAGCCCCCCTTGAGGGCACCAAAAGCCTCCTCCCCCTCCAGACTCTCCAGGAACCTGGCGGTGACGTTGGGGAACAGCTGGTGGCCGAGGGACATGTACTTCTCCCTCAGCATCAGGGCTCTCACCAACATTTTAGACGCCGCCTGCAGGTCTTTGAAAGGCACCTACATCACATTAACAAATGAATTGGACCAAGTTTAACAAGCTAAAGATGCATATAATGAGTAAGATTACTTGGTCAATATGGATATTATTACTAACTTAAATTTCAAGCTATTATTGCAAAATTATTTTCATTAAAGTATTATATTTATAGAGCTGTCTTTACCAATGTAACAAGATTGTTATTTATTAAATCTCTTAGAAGAGCACAAAATACACTAAGTAGAAGTTTTTTTATTGAAAATTTGAAAGCCTTAAAATTTATAAGCCTAATAAGTTATTATGAATTTAAATACCAATAGTAACATATTTTTAGTGTATTAATTGTCATGCTTTATATTCTGAAGAAATGGTGATTTCAAAGTATTATAAAATGTACAATACAAAAAGAAGTCCAATCTGACCATGTAAAGTGAAATATCTGGACAACAGAAGGCCAATCTGACCATGTAAAGTGAAATATCTGGACTACAGAAGGACAATCTGACCATGTAAAGTGAAATCTCTGGACTACAGAAGGCCAATCTGGTCATGTAAAGTGAAATATCTGGACTACAGAAGACCAATCTGACCATGTAAAGTGAAATCTCTGGACTACAGAAGGACAATCTGACCATGTAAAGTGAAATCTCTGGACCACAGAAGGACAATCTGACCATGTAAAGTGAAATCTCTGGACTACAGAAGGCCAATCTGACCATGTAAAGTGAAGTATCTGGACTACAGAAGGCCAATCTGACCATGTAAAGTGAAATCTCTGGACTACAGAAGGACAATCTGACCATGTAAAGTGAAATCTCTGGACCACAGAAGGACAATCTGACCATGTAAAGTGAAGTATCTGGACTACAGAAGGCCAATCTGACCATGTAAAGTGAAATCTCTGGACCACAGAAGGACAATCTGACCATGTAAAGTGAAGTATCTGGATTACAGAAGGCCAATCTGGCCAGTCATAGTTACCCCACTAGTGTCCTCGCCAGAGACATTGATTCTCTGAAAATCTGGCAGCAGCTCGTACTCTTCCTCCAGGTCATGTGCAATGTTAGCTGGGATGATGCTGTCGATCCTGGGCAAGTGACAAATGCGGGGCTTGTTAGATGAGGGGCGGTCTATGGTGTCTGGTGGGAGGGCTATTTGGGGCGGGCCGCCACTATAGGGGGGCAAACAAAGGTACAAATTAGAAAATTCAAACTGGCATGAATTGTTTTTTTTTTAAAGTTGGATGCCATTCCTGTTAGCAACAACGGCAACTCAAATCCATGCAGAAATCTTCTCAGCATGCAAAATCAAATTTAGAATTGAAATAAAAACTTTATAATAAACCCACGGCAAAACAAAAAATTCATTTAAAAAAAGTTTAAATGATTTTTTTTTGGAAAAAATGGAGTTGATCATGCCAAACAGTTTAATTCATTACTTTCTAATTTGCCCCCAGAGTAAAACAAACCAGTGGTTCTCAAATCTTGGTGCATGTTAGGATCAGCAAGCTGTGTGTTTGTGTGCATCCATTTCTAATTTCTAGTGGTTGTGATTGTACAGATGAGCACAAACATTCAATTAGAACTAACACAAGCATTTAATTAAACATTTGCTTTCCAACACAGTGTTTATAAGTGCAGTTTCAAAGCACAAAACTGGCGCTAGCAGTTCTTTGATGGTTCACAACTGGGTGAGTTGTAATTAAACCAACACAAGACAGTGTGGCCGAGTGCTAGACTACTAGCCTTATGTCTCAAGTTCGGATCTGATGGGCACCTGATTCACATAAGGGAAAACAAAGGCGGCTGGGCATAGTGCTGACAACATTAGCACTCTGTATTCTGAGGTAATTGAAACAGATGAACTCTACTTCATCTGCCCGTGTGCCATGGACATGAATGTGAAAAAATGAACCAACAGCAGGAGGAATGTTCAAATAAACTGTTAAACACACCATGCCTTATGAGGAATGAGTGGGCTGTATGAAAGAAGTTTTCTAATGACCATCTCTTGTGATTTTATACTGGCATGACTGGCTGTCTTCTATAGCTCTAGGTTGGTCTGGGTCAAGGTCATATTGTCTTGTATATATTATAGTCATGTGCAAGACAGGGAGACATCAATATGGTCCATCACATTTATGGTGATGTGGTATTATGTTGATCATCAGATGTAAATGTATTGGATCATCTATATAAAAAGTGGTCTTATATTGGTCACTTTGTTGACTAAGGTATTGACATATAGCATGAACCACTGAGTAAAGCAGCTGTTATGAAAGCCATCAGGTTTAAACCTATCATACAGACATGACAAAGAGCCCAATTTGAGAACCACTGTTTTCTATCAACTAACAGATGATGGGGTAGTCAAGAGGTCAAGTGATGTTTGGTAAAATGATTTTGATGAAATAAAAAAAAACAAAAATACTAACGTGATTGAATAATTATAAGCAAAAGGGAAAATAAAAAAGTGTGATTGTGAAGTAACGGGTTTAAAACAAATTAGAAATACAAAAGCAAAAGGCTTTGATGTTAAATGAGTTGTTTTAGTAATTAGTGAACACATAGTTATCAATCAATCACTCATGTGATTTCCTCTTTAAATAAAAGTAAGCTTTTTGTTATGAAATGTATAGATGCTAAACCTGTTGAAATATTATAACATAATAATTATCAATTTTATTAAACAGTGAAATACAACCGGGTAGGGGAGGTAACTACAGCCATGTAACAAGGAGGGGTCAAAACAACAGAAAACTAATTCTAACTGCATGCATCATTTAAATGAAATAAAAGTCTGAAACAAAAAAATAAACCTGCAACAAAAATAAAATCAACATAATGAAGCTAAACCTGTGCTAAAAAATATTTGATAGCATCAAACAAGATAAATCAGCAGCTGAGCTGAGGGCAAGCAACTGGTAATTTGGTCAGTCTGACCCTGACAAATATCTGGCCATAGGTCAGTGATGGTTGTACATCTAACAGTACATCTATAGGGTAGACCTAGCAGCATATGGTTTATATCATTCTCTCTAAAACAACTTCAGATCTATAGGGTAGACCTAGCAACATATGGTTTAAATCATTCTTTCTAAAACAACTTCAGATCTTTAGGGTAGACCTATCACCATATGGTTTGAATCATTCTTTCTAAAAACAACTTCAGATCTTTAGGGTAGACCTATCACCATATGGTTTAAATCATTCTCTCTAGAACAACTTCAGATCTATAGGGTAGACCAATCACCATATCATCATTTAAATCATTGTCTAAAACAACTTCAGATTTATAGGGTAGACCTATCACCATATCATCATTTAAATCATTGTCTAAAACAACTTCAGATCTATAGGGTAGACCTATCAGCTTATGATGGCTTAAACCATTCTCTCTAAAACAACTTTAAAACAGTTGTAATTGTAGTTTGTGCTACTATAAGTAATTTAGCATAAAACATTCTAATTGTAGGTAGTGCTACTATAAGTAATTTAGGCAATACATTGGTTGTGTGATGTCAATGCAGGTGATCTTTGACTTGTAGCGTACAGTCCTTATAACATTAAACACTCATTAGAGGAGAGACATTTTAAAACTGTTCGAATGCTAGCTCTTGGTAGTGCACCAGCACTGTAGCAGATTTACTGATTAATTGATTCCATCACTAGTGATTTGATCTTCTACCTAAACAGTTCCTGTGGGGTTGAACATTCAATAAGGAGAGACATTTGACAATTAGGTTGACATACTAGCTGCTGGTGCTTGTAATTAGAAAGTGTTGTCACTTCAGTAATTAGAGAAATCACAGGTGACAGTTAATCAATTAATTTATAATGGGAGATGGGTCACACTTAACTAATGGATTGTTGACCTGTTCTAATTAAAACAAGTATTTGACAAGATTGGTGTTAATTAATTGATTAATGAAAGAGAGATTTTCAGCTATATTAATATAATCATAAGAATAGCTTAATTTATTAGCCTACTTCATGTTATGTACAAAGATAACACTAAAATCTAACAGCAATTCCAACTACCATAATTGAATAATTTTTCTTCTTCAATGAGTGTTAAAAAAAATCCTATTTGGGGAGAAAAAAAACGCATCCTGGCTCGTGGTATTTTTTTACCGGCCAGTTTGAACTTTCCACCAGCTCACCGACCAGCAGACGACACTCGGTCACCGGAAATACGTCGTCTGTTGAGCAAGGAGATCGATCTCCCCGTCCCACTTATCTCCCCTGTCTGCCACACCACAATGACGCGATGCCTTACGTAATCAAGCGATCCAGACCAAACAGGCCTCGATAGAACCAGCTATTGGCGTGGTAAAGACAACGGTTCATTGGGGGAGATTTGACAGTGGGTCTAGCTCAACTTCATGTTTTGAAATATTTTTTAGACTAAACGTTTAAAATTATAGAATCATACAAGTGTTTATTTACCCTAAATTTACCCCAATTACTCCAACATTAAAACAAAATACTTCTCCAAATATAGTTCAGTTATCAAGCAATAACCCAAAACGGAGGGTAGGCTACAATTAGGCTAAAGTGAAAAAGTTTCACACTGGTGTCATTTTATTGTACTTTAGCCTAGCGCAGGGGTCTCCAAACTACGGCCCGCGGGCCGGATGCGGCCCGCGAGGTCCTCTCATCCGGCCGCGGAGATCTTTTTGTCCACGGAAAAAAAACGTTTGTTGGAGTTGGCTGAGGAACTTGCTCAGAAACTGGAAGAAACTGGCCCCCGAACTGAAATTTGATAGTTAATGCGGCCCTCGGACTGAAAAGTTTGAAGACCCCTGGCTAGCGTCTCAGCTTGTAAGCGAAGTCACGATGTGAGCTGGATTTATACGGTCGTTTGGACTGTTACTATGGCGTCACAGAAGTGTGTCAGTGGCGAAATTGAGGTGTACCTGTGGCGCTACAAACGTGTATACCAAAGCGTCCTAAGGGTGTTAACAGTTGCGTCATTAGGGCGTGTCAAGTCACAAAGGTTGGCGACAGTGCGACATCTTAAAAACTCACCTTGACCTCACCACAAACCATCTCCGTTATTTAAACCCCGTGTTACTAGTTGTCAGTCCGTATTACAAAACCAACCAACAGCTAATGTTGCACTGTTAACTGCTTTAAACGTAATGTCAACAGAAAAACTCGCGGACATAAAAAGCAACGTTGCATCGACACTAGTGTCTACGCAAGCTATACATGTGATAAATTCAGCGTTTCAAATGTTGGTTGTCAAAGTAAGACCAAACCAGCGTTTGACAGCAAACTGTTGAATAATGGTGGTGCTCATAATAGAAGGAAGCGTGGTAGACTACACACACAAATCAATGATATAAAATACAACAGCAAAAAATGTGGGTAGGGGTGGAGGACGACACTGGAACATTATGGGAACAACATTTACCCCACCCAGCGTCTAAGTCTATAGGCTATGGTAGCGGTTGGCAACCTGAGACCTAGACAACTCGGGTCCCCAGCAACCTGGGGACTAGGGAACCTGAGGCCTCAGCAACATGGGCCCTAACCTGCAACTAACTTTCTTGTGTAAAGATACAATACAATACAATCAAACAACAACAACAAAGAAACCCCAGCCTTTTCTGTTGTGTGTCTAACGTTAATGTTGTTTTCGTGTGCGAAATGGACCATAAAAACTGTTACACTAGTAAAATGTGTCGTGTCTTTCACCACTTATCTTAGCCTACCTACGTTCAGCTTCCCATCTCCCCGTTTTAACGTGTGCAGATAAACATGCCATGTTTACAAATTAAATAGAAATAAAAAGTTGCTGACCGCTGTAAGACTAAAATAAGAAGAGACCACATACCTAGCACAGAGCTATACGAGAGTAATGGTTACATCACCTACAGCTTACACACGAGTGTAATGGTTATATCACCTACAACTTACACATGAGTGTAATCAAAAAGTATTTTTCCAGATTGAAATAATACACGCGTTTTATAAAGTAGGCCTACGCTCGTTCAATTTCATACTAATTTATTTTTTGATGGGAACAAAAATAAAGCAACAGTTACAACTATGAAAATAAAACACCAGCTATTTATAATTCTATTGACCCTTTATCTCCAAGCACATCTAATAAGGGAAACTACTAACAAATATATAAAAAAAAAAACAACCATGAACTCAAAGTATAAATGTTACAACGAGAGTTACCTCCCGTCCAATATAAAAGACTGACTTGAGACAGGCGTCACAGGAACGCTGTGGAGTTAGACAAGAGGAAAAAAACAACTAAATTAGACTCGTCTATTTCAAACCTGCCTCCATAGTTTGGTAGTAATGGTATACACATTGGGATATTCCATCTTTTTAAAAATTAAACAACTTTATTTTGTTGTTTTTTTTGCAGCTGTTTCCAATTAAACCTTTTCTTCCCTATTGATTCAAACATGACTACACTTCATGACTCGTCTGTTGTAATACATATAAAAACGCACGTCATTCTGATGAGTGAATGTGCAGAACAGAACATCATACACTTATTAAGGGGACAAAACTGTGTATTTGACTAGAAAAGGGACATAATGAATTTAATTAAAAAATGTAAAAAAAAATATTCTAGGATTAAAAGGTCAACTAGGCCGCAGAAATAACGGTAGGATTCTTATTCTTTCGTCCTAGTAATTTGCAAACGCAATTAATTAAAAAATTGGAAAACATCAAAGCATATGTTAAGGTACAAATGCTTTGTGTTAAAAAAAATATTTGCGCAAAACCTAAATAAGTACTACGCTCAATCATCCAGACCTGTCAATTATTTTTTACATGCACCAAATGTTTTGTTAGATAAAACAACCACATGCTCCGGGTAGAGAAGTGATTACATAACTCAACAGATGGAACTTAATCTACAGTCAAACGCTTAGTCAACAGGCAGTAGTTTCAAATTTGTAAACAAATACAAAAATACAAGTATATAGGTAGGTATTGAATAACTTAGATGTTAATATGATGTAGAATGTAATGTAGTTGGTGGTGATGTTTTAGTTGGCATGACATTTGCCTTAATTGTACTAGGCACAGAGCAGATGTAAATATGACATAGGTTGCAGTTGGTGGTGATGTTTTAGTAGACGTTACATGTGCCTTAATAGACAGAACTTTTTTTTTTAGCTTAGAACAGTTCTTGGATGAGGCTCGTTAGCTGGGGACAGCCACTCTTCTAGGAGAGACAACTCCAAAATTAAACAACTGCTGCCTTGTAGTTTGTTCTTGATTGGACAAAGGCTATGGAAGCAAATCCAAAAAGAAAAGCAGGCTGAAATCGGAGTCAATGGCCTCAATGGCGCATAACCAGTTGACACGTAACGCTTAATTGTGTTGGAGGCGTGTTCGAGTCGGCAAAAAGCTCATGGTTGATAAATTCGAACAAAGTATCGAGTTCAAACCCACTGGCAGATAAATCTCGATCCCCTTCAACACTTATAATTAAGAACGAAGAAGAAGAAGAAGAAGGATGTCTTCTCATGTTAAGGCCTATGGACTAAGTGAGAGACCAGTTAAGCTCCCTGGTGTACTACTGTATCAAAATAACAGATTAAGCTCTCCTGGCTGTAAACTACCATTTGCCCAAAGTCCTCTAGAACTATAAAACATCCCTTCAATTCAACACTGCACAAGGTACTCAACAAAGTTATAAAATGTACATATCAATGACAACAAAGCTTAAACCAGACAGGAGCTTCTCTGTAAGACTCCACCCAAATGTACCTGGACTCTCCAACCCTTTGAAGCCATGTGCCCAAATCAAGTCGAAGTACACAATTGAAGGTAGACTAACTATTGTGTTGTTGGACTGTACATTTACCCCCCCCCCCCCCTTCTGAACCTTCGAAACACTGTTTGATTAATGGGAATCACTTGTCAAGACAAAACCCCCTACAGAAAATTGAGATAATAAAAATTATGTGCCGTGGAATGTCGAGCTTGATAGCACTTGATGGTGGCTACAAGTTAACGCTAACTAACCGGGTTACAACTTAACGCTAATCGGGCTACAAGTTAACGCTAACCGGGCTACAAGTTAACACTAACCGGGCTACAAGTTAACACTAACCGCGCTACAAGTTAACGCTAACCGGGCTACAACTTAACACTAACCGGGCTACAAGTTAATGCTAACCGGGTTACCAAAAAATGTGCACACAACATTCAATACGAGCAGCCCAGACCGGATTCCTTTACATAAATGTTGTCAAAAGAAAAGAAAAAAAAGGAGAAGAAAAATAGGACCCCGTCACATCAAAGGCCACAAAGTATTCAGTAGTGGGGTAGAAAAGATCTTAAAGCCAACAAGACTAGAGGAGTGGGGTACAACAGATCTTTGCAAGTTAAGTCGTGCGTTCATCGCACAAACATCGCAGTTAACTAACAAGTGTACATCAAACATGTAGATATCAATATTTATATATGTGTGTATATATATGTAAATTTGGTTATGTATAATCTTTTCTTTTACACTTAAAATAAAATCTATATTTACATCATCTTTAATCTCGCTAAATCTCATTCATCCAACCATCCACCTCTCTCCAATTCTGTCTGTCTCTCTCTCTACATATATAGTCTATATACAGTATCCCCCAAAAGAGCAATGTGCTACTTACTCACACAAGATGATATCCAACAGAGACTGTCTCCGTAACTTAGGCATGTCTCAATGCCTGGCCCCACACTGACGTTTGTTGTTTGTTTACACTAGACGAATATCAACTTTAAACCTTAGAATGACTGTGAGAATCTACCATCAGAGAGAGGGCTTGTATGGGCTTAGCCACCAACCCCTTCGATATCTGGAGTCACTAGGTCTATTGTTATGTGACCGATGTATCTTGGACTGCTAGCACTACCAACAGATGAACACTTTACTGTCATGAACTTATAGACGGACACGCTAATCCTAATGTGATCTAGTAGACCAACATGAACCGAATGCCATACAGCAACTGTCCCATACACAACTACAGCTGGGTGACTTACGCCCCCCCCCCTCAAACCGCTCACAACCGCCATGTCATTGTTCCATATTTTGACATCGTGACCTCACAAGTCACAACATCATCAACCGCCGTGCGACAGTCGCCTAGATATTCAAATGAGAAAACTAAATTTCTGTTATCAATCTGTAGCTCACCATTGATAAAAACTCCATCAGAGCAATACATTATCAATACAGAGCAGTTACTCAAAACCAGCAAGGATAATCATAGATTTGTGTCTAATTAAAACACTAGTCGTATAATGCTCAACATAATACAAACAATGCTGAAAGAACACACTTCTACTCCTGCAACAACACGAACCTGCTCCAAAAGCAATACGAACCTACTCTAGAAACAAGAAGAACCTACTCTAGAAACTATACGAACCTGCTCCAAAAGCAACACGAACCTACTCCAGAACCTACTCCAGAAACAAGAAGAACCTACTCCAAAAACAAGAAGAACCTGCTCCAGAAACTAGACGAACCTGCTCCAGAAACTATACGAACCTGCTCCAAAAGCAACACGAACCTACTCCAGAACCTACTCCAGAAACAAGAAGAACCTACTCCAGAAACTATACGAACCTACTCCAAAAACAAGAAGAACCTGCTCCAAAAACTACACGAACCTGCTCCACAAAGCCCACTATCGTACAGTGTCAAGGTACGAAAATCACCTAGCCATTTCTACTAGCAGTCAAACGTGAACCATAGACTGATCCAATTGTAAACAAACACAAATCGCCAACACATACCGATATAAATACCCACATCCAGCCAAACGTGAACCATTGACTGATCCAATTGTAAACAAACACAAATCGCCAACACATACCGATATAAATACCCACATCCAGCCAAACGTGAACCATTGACTGATCCAATTGTAAACAAACACAAATCGCCAACACATACCGATATAAATACCCACATCCAGCCAAACGTGAACCATTGACTGATCCAATTGTAAACAAACACAAATCGCCAACACATACCGATATAAATACCCACATCCAGCCAAACGTGAACCATAGACTTCTCCAATTGTAAACAAACACAAATCGCCAACACATACCGATATAAATACCCACATCCAGCCAAACGTGAACCATTGACCGATCCAATTGTAAACAAACACAAACCTCCAACACATACCGATATAAATACCCACATCCAGCTAAACGTGAACCATAGACTGATCCAAATGTAAACAAACACAAATCACCAACACATACCGATATAAATACCCACATCCAGCCAAACGTGAACCATTGACTGATCCAATTGTAAACAAACACAAATCACCAACACATACCGATATAAATACCCACATCCCCAACAAGCTTAGTGCATGTGTTTGGTGAAGCGCGTCCTCTTACCAACCAACCATCCCGCAACACAATCCACTCCAATCATACAATCCGGCAGCACAATCCTCTTCAAGCCGTGATATTTAATAAACAAATGTATGCGAGTCGACGATGCAAGTACGACAACTCGTGTGATCAATAGAGACTTAAAGAACACACTCCATTTTTTATCGTGATGTCGCAACATGTCACTGCAGCTAAATAATTTTTTTATCCCCAGCGATGCCAGGAAAGAGCTGGTCGAAAGAAGATGCTGGAAATGACGCTAATTAAAGCATGGAATTTCAGGACAACGCATGTTTTTACCCAAGAAACATTCCAAGAATTTTTTTTGAACTGCAGGGTTAAAAGGAGATCCAACATTGGAATTCTACGAAAAAGGGATTTTTAAAAAAAATTGTCGTCACAAGTTATTTTTAAGTTAAATCACGAACTGTTACAAAACTACAGGTCAACATCACTATAATAAAAGAAATTTTAAATTACATTTCATGAATTCTTGGGACAATTATTTTCTTTTAAAACGAGGCAGAAATGGTTATTTACAAAACTGAGATGAGACGTGCATGGTGAAAATATTACAGAAATACAGAGTTCAAGCTATATTAAGTAGTCAGGAGTGGAGAGATCTAGGACCCAAACAATCATAAATTAATAACTTCTTGTCCTTTTTGAGTTTAGCCTTGTATAATATAAAAATTATATAATTGTCACCTGATTTATAACCGAATCTCCATGAATTATTTATACAACAGTAAATTGAGTTTAAAAAACAACAACTAAACTTGTCTTACAGAGTCGCAGCAATCAATAGCGCACTTAACCACATGATAACCTATTGATCAGGA